TAAGAAATCGTTATCTTTGAAGTTCACGTCATATAGCTTACTATGATCACAGACGACAGATATTTTACTTCACGAAGTCTCAAAATGTTTTTTATATGTCGGTTTAAAATGCTGTTAACTTTGAAAATCTATCGAAAAATTTTAAGGATTTAACTTTCAAATCTGTGGTCATGCACCTTTAGATATGACACCTTGAATTTTTATAAACATTATAAAAAAAGGCGCATTTGTTCAAACATTATAAATTTAAAAGTTATTTATGAACTATTACAGTAACGAATAATAGTAGTAATGTGATCTCATCAATCAATGTAAATATGCATAATTTTATCATGGATCAGTAATGATTCTGTCATTTTATCTTATAACGTTTATACTTTTGTGTACTTGTGCATGTTTTAATAGAAAAGGTTAAAGTTTCAGAAGGCTCGTTTTATTTACAGGATAATATATTTCATAATATTTATAATAATTTTCTTGTAATGTATAGAATATTGTGTGTAGTTGTTAATTATAATGATGGATTCTTAAAAATCAATAAAGAATGGTCGAAGAATTGTGTCTTCCCTATTGCGTTATACAGGTTGGGTAAAAACGGCCATATGTATATCATAGCCCTTCCCCATAACCTGAGGACAATCCAGTAGCCAGAGAAAATGAGAATTAAATTGACAGATAAAAAGTCTTTTGAAATAATAATAAAAACAAAGAACTTTCATAGATTTTCCTGGAAAAAAAATTTACACTTGCTTACAGTGGATTGCACGAGTTGTTCCGCATGGTGTGACCTCTCACATGCATAGCAAAAGTCTCTGGTTCGCTTAAGTAACGTGAAATCTCAAACAAGATAACTCACGATTAGCCCAATATCATCCTTGACTCTGCCAGACTCAAATACTCCGGCGTTTGAGGTTTAAAGGGTACACGGGCTGGAGTCCAGAATGGTGTTGACCCGGTTATGATAAGTGATGGAGAATCTGGGTAATATTCTGCTCATAATTTTTTTTAAAATTCCCCATGTGTTTTTAATGCAAGTAACCAGAGAATGATATTTTGCATGTATATATTTTTGATATATAGTTACTCAAACAATTTATATGAATAAATTGTTGTCATATTTCATGTATTTCCATGATTATGGTGAGAATTGAGATGTCACTACTTAAAGCAAAAAACTTTAATTTTCTGAATGTTTTCTTAGATTGGTCGTTAGTTTACATTTACATAATCATTATAGATAAACATGCTGCTGAAAATTTTACGTGCTTTATAGTTTACCTGAGCTTTTCTGATCAAAATTCGCCCATTGTCTGTCGTTGTTGTTTTCGTCGTCGTAATTTTTAAACATTTTCAATTTCTTTTATACAGAATCACTGGGCCAATTTCATCCAAATCTGTCTCGAAGTATATCCTTGGGTAAAGGGGATTCAAGTTTGTTCAATGACCACACCCTCTTGATTGACAAATAATGAAAACTGTGTTGGGTCACTAAAAAGTCTTCTTCTCAAAAACTCTTGGCCAGGAAAGATAAAACACGTGAAAGTTTCCTACAGAATGTAGATTCAAGTTTCTTCAAATCATGACCACTTATGGTAGGATGGAGCCACTATGGGCTACCAAAGTTTATATGGGAATATATAGGTAAAATCTTTAAGAATATTCTTCTCACGATCACGAACTATTTGGCCCAAAGAGCTGAAACTTATTTGAAAGCTTCATTAGAAAGTGGGGATTCAAATTTGTAGAAATCATTACTCCTGGGGGTAAGTTGGGACCACAATGGACAATCAAAGTTTTACATAGGACTACATAGGAATAGTCTTCAAATGTCTTCTTCTCAAAAACATCGATGCCGTGATTATTCATATTTATATGAAAACATCCTTAGGTAGTTTACATTCAGTTTTATTCAAATTATGACCTCAAGGGGTAGAGAGGGGACATAATGTATGGTCTTATCTTTACATGAGAATATATAGTGTAATGAATCTGCTGATGAAGAATAGAAGTAATAAAGTTACTCGGGTGAGCGTTGGGGCCAATGAGCCTCTTGTTTTTGTTTATCATTGTCATACATTTAAAATAATTTAGAACCAAATGCTGTATGCATAAAATTTATTTCTTGTAAGTTAGTTATAAAGTTGATTAAGGTGGTACGGGATACTTCTTTATTTTCCAAGGGTTGAAAATTCCTGGGTGCTATTTCAGAAATGATGAGCATTTTTTCCCAGACATAAAAAATCGCACTTTCTTTCAGTGATAGTTTTCAACTTTGAACCTTTTTGAAAACAATGCATGGACAATCGCTTTCCTAGACGTGTCTCATTCAGAGCAATTGCATTCATCTAAAAGTTTTTGGGACTATATACACAGCTAGCTGATTTGTGACCAAACAGTTACTTTTTGAATTAAATAACAAAGAAGACCAGTTCTGGTTAACGTGATAATTGATTGGTCATAATTCAGCACAATGTGAGGTCATCACACTCATCTATGCCTCACCGCACACAAGTTGCTGTATAGTTACTCAAACAATTGAAAGACAGCTTTTGCTTAGAAGTGTTCAAAAGCAGCAATGTTCAAAACAATCTTTTACAGGGGTTTGCTTTTTAAATGTCCGTAGAACAATTATAAGTAAATTTATATACTTGTGATTCTTTTTGCTTATGTTAATTAAAAAGCCAACTTGTTAGAATTTGCACAGAAATAGCTTCAGAGTGTTTTCTTTTAAGGTGTAATATCCCTCTGATAAGAGAGATAACTTTCCCAGGATATTATTCCAAGAAATCCAATGAATTGTCTTAAAAATTACCAGAGTTTAATAATGAGGACCATTATATAGTCAACCCATTCAACCCCGAACTAAGTTACAAATATTGATTTTTATTTTCTATTGCTTATATTTTTATTAATTACTTATAATAGTTTACCTAAAACATTTATACTCAGTTCCTTTAAACTGTTAAAATTGAGATATTTCTGTCTCTTAACATATAATTCTTTTAATTGTTACAGAAATTTCAGTTGCAGACTAACCAGACTTTTTACAATCAAAAAATTAATATTTTTTCACTAAAAATATTTTGAAGAATGATAACTCCTGTAGATGGAAAGATGCATTTTTATTTTACAAGCACAGAAAACAATGTGATATTCTGATTAAAAAAGCAACGCTTCAGATTGTTTTCTAATGTGAATTAGATAGGTATGATAGTAAATATTAATTTCATATATACCTCATATTTTTTTTATTTTAGGGTGATATAAAAAATTATTGATCTTTCTATTCACCATATCAAATTTTCTTCATATCATGATTAGACATAATTATATTAATTTCTGAAAAAGTAAGAAACGCTTCATACTTCAAAATATTTTCCATTTGAATCTAATGCTATTGTTGATGAAAATCAATGTTGGAAATTTTTTAAAAAATGGTGAAATTTGGAGCAGAGGGATATTTCACCTTAATGGGTGTATTTACAAATTTTGACCCGATAATAAGCACTCATACAAATCAAAACAATACTTCAAACGGAAATACGTCATAACGTGGAGGTATCCCATACTACCTTAAATTCACGAACCAAGATTTTATTCAGGCATGCAATGGCAATTATATGCATGCATTTGTTTTTAACAGAACACAGTTTTTCAAATCTATATATTTCTATGTTTTGAATAAATATTTTAGGAAAATGTGAGTTCTTCGTGCAGATCATATGCTTAACACTGTTTTAGCACTGAACATATTTTGTACATACATTTCTTGAAGGAAATTTCCATATAATGTCGCTAGAAGATTGGTGTTGCCTTGTATAAGAAATCCATACAGCTGACATCACTTTTATTGCAAAATAGGTACTAAGTTGTTTATTTTCATAAATGAATGATGAAATAAATCAGTGGCCTCTAAAAGAAAGACCTATATCTACATACGTAAACCAGAAACACAGGTGTGCTGTTAACTATCTTTAAATTAGACGGGATATGTAAAGTTAACAATTTACCAAATGTGTGTGTTATGATTGACTTGTATGGGTGTAAGAAATCATTTCTTCAAATTATTTTCATTCAAAGGAAGGAATGATTGCATAAATATGTACATGTAACGAATGATGCATAGGACACAGTTCTTGCTTCCGAAAATTTGCTATTTAATAGTCAAAACTAGCAGATTTTTATGTTTGTAAAACCAATTCAAACAACATTGATTGCATATCAATTAAAACAAACAGACTTGTTCAATTTCAGTCCATTCCTCAAGCTCAAACCAAAGTTCTTCTACACAAGAACATTCATCAAAAAGAAGATCAATGGTTTTAGTATCTTTACCGCAAAAAAGGAACATAACAGTGAATCATGCAATTAATTTTAATGAACAGGAATTTTTGTATTATTTCAAATTGGGGATTGTGTTTTTGTGATTAGAGAAACCAGGGACCTATATACTAACTATATAGGTCCCTGGAGAAACATATATTAATCATGGGTCAATAGTCAAGTGCTTGTGCAGAAATCGTATTTAAATATATACGTATATTATATGTTACTATCACATTTTAACCTTTATATTAGTAAACCGTACTGTAGATCTTTGTACGATTTTAAGATATTTATGTGAATATTCTGCATTATTCAAACAGTTATCCTTATTTAGAAGTCACGACAAGGAAATGCTTCTAGGACAAATGTGTTTGAAATCCCAGCATTATAGAATAATAATTTCATAAACAATTATAATTAATGGTGTTCATACAGGTTCTTTTAACAGTTTTAGAATTCAGAGAAATAAAAAGTAACATGATCTTCTTTATTATTAATTTGATTCTTACAATTTCTTATGTCCATAATGACAAATATTAACGATTGATTGAATGAAAATCAAATTCCTACACATGTATCCAGCAAACACAGGCCTTTTGATGAACAGGTCATCGGGATCGGGTTTCAAAAAAAAGAAAAACATTGTAAACATTGGACTTTGTCCAGGTGTGTAGCCTGTTGAGATTTTATGAATCTTATCGACTTATAAAGTCAGGAATAGAATGTCAGATGACGATACGTTAAGAAAAGGTATTTTATATTTCATAGTTTCTACATGTACCACAAGCACTTGTTTCGTATGCACATCTATCTTTTTGGAAAGAAAAAGTACATGTAGGTTGTGAGGTCTACGAAACAAGTACCTGCACTTTTTACATTGGTATTCTAGATTTAATAGCAAATCGTTAGCAGCATAGTAAGTATCTATTTCTAATCTGTTCAACACATTCAACTGGTTGGTAATCCACATGTGAAGTAGGCATGAAAAATCTCCTTCAAATAAGATTCAATGAGATATCAGGTGAAAGGAAAAATATATTTTTTGAAAGGGTGAAAAGGTATTCAATAAGACATCAGGACCAGGACTGAGTTGTAAGCACTGGACGTCACGTGACATGTCCAGTGAATGGGTAGACCAGGGTCAAAGGTCATGTATACAGAGAGGTAGTTGGAGGAATACAATAACGTAAAACCTAACTTACTGCATTAATTTAAAAAAATCAACAATTTTCCTCTTTAAGTTCAATTTTCATATTTATCATGTGAGACGTAGATGTTTTCATAACCCCCCCCCCCCCCTAAAAATTGTTCAAAAAATATATGTATTACAAGAATGGCAGGGAAATTTATGGAAAAACCTTTTGAAATTATTTTACTTTTCTTTCATAACATCATTTACTGCACATTACTTTTTTTTCAGGGGTTCGCATGAACCTGGCAGTGTGGATAGAGAAGCTTAGATGTGGCGGAGATATAGAGAAACAACAATTCTTCAAAAAGAAATTCATTGAGAGACTCCGAACGTCTCCTGTTGCTATAGAAACAGATAAAGCCAATGAACAACATTATGAAGTTCCTACAGAGTTTTTTCAAACGGTATAGTATAAATATGTGTCAAACGGTATAGTATAAATATGTGTCAAATGGTATAGTATAAATACGTGTCTGCACAGGTGTATAAGTCAAAGTATATTCATGATATTTTATTTTCATGATAAGTAGTGCAACTTCACGTAATGTGATATATTTTTATTTTAAGTAACAATGTTCAGTTTGTATTTTATTTATATGTTGTATTACTTTTTTCTTAATTAAGGTAAAAAAAAATCTTAAGTTTCTAATATGTCTAAGGACAAAAATTTCAAAATTCAATGAGGCAGGTAGTTTTTTTTTTCTTTCTTTCTTTTTTAAGCACTGCTGGTGTTATCTTTTTCTGTTGCCAGTCAACAACTGATTGATTTCTTACCTTTTTGTTCTCTTATATTGATTATGATATTCTTTGCTCTAAATGAGGTTATTCCAAACATTTTTTATCATGTTTATCGAAATTTAATTAATAAAGTACTGTATTCAAAAAGAAATACATATATATTTTGTATCAACCCTAATAAAACGTCTTTCTGTATAAGCTTATATGAAAAGGGGCATAACTCAATTTTCTTTTTCAACTTGAAAAAATAGAAAACTAAGATATTTCCTTTTTCAACTATTTAAATATGTCAACTCAATAAAGTTGATCAATGCGGCAGTGCTTGACCTGATGGGGCAGTGCCTGTTAAACTATTACATTAAACTTTTTTGGCCTAAGTATGATTTTTTTTAAAAACTTTTCTGAATTAAGTAATATATAAATTACTGTATTTAAATTGTGAAGCTGTATAGTTGAGAGGAATGAAATGGTTAATGTAAAAAGAAAAGAAAGTTATTGGCATCTTAAACAAATGTACACTAGTAAATCTCATGTACTTGTTATTAAAGATATCTTTTTTTAAAAAGAAGGCATGCTATATAATCATAATCATGTGGACATTTTGAGTGATGTAACAAAAGTCTTCCTGTTTTAGGACACAATACTTTCTATTTTTATTACAGATTCTTGGCCCGCGACTGAAGTACAGTGGTTGTATTTGGAGTAAAGGTGTTCATGATCTAGCAGAAGGTAGAGTACTCATGTCCTCACTTATGTAAGAAAAAAATACTTATTCTGACACCTCATCGTAAACTTTGTAAAGGATGATTCTCTATAAGGCCATTTTCCGGCCTACGATAAAATCACTTAAAAATGTGATTTTATGTAACTTTAATCATTATATTTCATGATTTTGATGTTTGTTTTTCAACATCGATCACCTAAGTCGCGTGATTTAAAGATCACAAACGGCTGTCAAGTAAAGAAAAATTGAGGGTAGGTCTATTTACATCAAGTTTTCATGCATGTTTCTAGATGTAAATGATCAAAAATTGTTTATTTATGTCGGAAACATATCAGACTTAAGTATTATAAGCAAAGATTGTTTAATTTAAGGCTAAAGATATTTTTTTATGGCAAGAATTTTGATGCATTCACATTTTGCATATTTTGAATGTAAATCTTTACAAAATGCACCTCGTACGATGTTGAAAAATGTTTAATTAGCATTTAATTAAAAGTATTATTTTATATATGTTTATATTGTACTTGTGTATTGTTTCTATAGATGTGGTACCTATTTTACGCATAAAATGCCCATGCAAGAAATGAGATTTCTAAGTTTCTTTTGAACTATAAAAGTTGTGTATCAAATGTTTAAAGCAATGAATGAATTTTGTTTGTGATTAAATCAAAATTAAGTTGTAATTTATATAATATAGTCTACATTTGCAAAAAAAATTAAGAATTCATTAATTTACAGGATGAAAATATTAATGCAAGTACATGTTAATAGTCAGTGCATAAAACTCAGAACGGTTGTATTAAAAATATATATATCGACGTAAAATGAAATAACATCGTAAGAGTTGATTTGATTCAATTTAATTACGCATGTAAAACAATATATTTAATTTAAAATGCTATCTTAACTATAATACACAAATGTATGTATAAAAGTCGAGCCCCCCCCCCCCCCCCCCCCACGGCACTCCATAAAATGGAGTAGATTTTCAACAGTTCCTTCCACTACGCATAGCAGAAGTTTAAGTATATCCATGGACTAACAGAGTTCTACAACATCCCAGGTACAAAATCGACCGTAAGAGATGACACTCCTTTCGCACTCTTGAAACCTGAGAATTAAATTCTCTTTCCGTGCTGCGTCAAGAACTAAGGTGTTTAACACGGGTAGTGACAGTTCCTTTGCTAAGTCCTCAGCATTGAAAGTAAAAGTCATGGGTCTCTTGGATATTATCTTAAAGAAGGAGGTCCTGTCCCACGGTAGGTGTTGGTCAATACTGAAACCATGCATAAATCAAAATTGTGACACTTCACCTTAAGTGAATGATCTCTTTATCTGGGTGAAAAATTCTAAAATGACGTAAAGCAACATTCAATAATCAATCACGTGACATTTAGGAACCCCTTTCCTCCTTGGCGTTTTATTTTCTAAGACAGAACTACTGTTCTCATAACTTATATTGATGCTACCAAAGAAGTGTGATGAATAGATTGAGTCCTCTCAACACCAAGTTAACAAAATACATGGATCCTATGCCACTCATACGGAAAAGTGTCCTTCTAAAAGGTCGAGGCGAGAATTTCCATCATGAAACCATCCCATCAGTAATTCTCTATCTATAAAAGTTACATGTGTACCCATAGAAAAATTAAGTTTATAACACAAATAGCAAATGCATCTTCCCGCTTCAACAAAAATAGCTTTTATCATTTCTAGAACTAATAACAAATATGCAGTACTCCTAAGGAAATACAAATACAAAGAAGTAGCATAGATAAACTAAACTATCCTTATAAAAAAAATAATTATAATAAGTAACTTATATTCATGTCTTATAGTCTATAAAAGAATTTCTTTATTTCTAGCAGATAGTTCAATGAGACTTGTATTCACGTAATTTCATAACAACCAGTCATTTCAGTCCTTTGATTTTAGATTTTTTAAGTAAAAAGTTTTCCTTTTTTGAGTAAACATGCATGGCTTATATTAATTCTTAGTAAATCAATAGAAACATGTACTCTAAGTGGAAGTTTATAATAAGAAATAATCTACATAAGCTGATATCCTTCATTGTAAGTAGTTACATGTAGCTTTTCCTGCAAATATCGTAAAAATGAAGCGAAAAGTTTTTATTTACATGTCATAACCACCTTTAACCAAGTTGATAATTTGGTAGTCACTTTTTATGTTCATAAGAAGTTTACATGCAAATTTTGGTGTTGGTTAAACGTGGTTATGACATGTGTAGGAGTTACCTAACACACCAACCTTCTTGAGTTTTCCCATTACCCTAATGCTAATACGGACCGATAGTACCTTACTTTGTGACCCTATATCATAACAAATACTTTTGTATCATTAACCAATCAACATTTATCATTAAATTGGAACATTAGCCTACTGACTTATGCAGTTTTTAAGGGAAAAAATACTATTTGAAAATTTGAAGTCATTGTAGGCCGCAAAACGGCCTTATAGAGAATGATCCTTTTAGTTGAAGCCATAGGTATAATGCCTCACTTGTTAAAAGTAAATACTGTGTGGTATTAAATTTTCTGCACTGCACACCCATGCACATTACTGTGCGGTTTCATTGCATACAATGCATCATATAAGTACATATACTAATAAAATGATCAAAACTTAGCAGATTGTGAACTTGTGATACACGTTCTAAATCATATAAGTTTGAAAGTTATTGAAATGTTCGAGTGGCATATTTACAACAAAATTTTAAATGCATGTCTTGAGGAACTATGCTTCCACAATGCACCTTACAGTTTGTTTGTTTTTTTAAATTAAATACATATTAAATGACAGGTAGATAATTCTGCCACTATGCTATATGTCCTTCATATGTTGTGTCTCTCTGATATGTTTTCTCTTTATCAATAAAAATCTGCATTATAACTATACTACTACTGTAGATTTTTGTTAACAGTAGAAGATTTTTGTCTTCAGAAAGACAGTTGTGTCTAATTCTTATTGTAGCGGAAGATGTAACGTTAAACTTGTACTGTGAGCGGGCAAAAATCGAGGATGGACAAAACATACTTGTAAGTTTGCCACAAGAAGGGCAGTTCAGTATTCAAGATTTCATTTTTACCCTTGTATATATAGTTTTATATTGTGAAAACTGAATTGAATTTTCAAAACAATAATAAAGCATAGGAGTGTTTAAAATTTGTAAACTGTGACAATGTCTTTATAGTATGGTGGCATATTTCTGCCACCACTTGTCAGATGTTTATGTCGACTTGTCAGATAAAAATCATCACGACCCTGAACTTGGTATCTTGTTGTAACAGCATGTTAAAGTCATTCACTGACATCTATTTGTCATCAATATATCTAACAAGTTGACATACTTTTCTGACAAGTAAAATATTTTTCTAATGAGTCGACATAATTTTCTGACAAGTTGGCTTGTCAGATGTTATGTTGACTTGTCAGATAGTGATGTTGACTTGTAGAATATTATGTCGACTTGTCAGTAATTATGTTGACTAGTCGGATAATATATTGACTCGTCAGATCTCTATGTTGACTTCTCAGATCTTTATGTTGACTTGCTAGATACTTATGTCAAATTATCAAAGAAATATGTTGTCAACCGATGGCCTAAACTGGGCATTGACACATTTTATAATGAATTTTTAAACAATAGAGTAAGTGACAAGTTAACAAAAAGATCTGACAATATGTTGTCGACCGATGGCCTAAACTGGGCATTGACACATTTTATAATGAATATTTAAACAATAGAGTAAGTGACAAGTTAACAAAAAGATCTGACAAGTCGACATAATTATCTGACATGTGGGGGGCAGAAATATTCCACCTTATTATAGGTATACACATACGTTAACTGAAACTCAATTTCTTAATACATACATGTATACAAAATTATTAACTGAAACTCAGTTTCTTAATAGCTCTATGCATACCATAATTCACTTTATAAGATGTCTGAATAAAGATCAAAATCTTAAATATTCCTTCGCGTATTTCCACTTGCTCACAGTTTTGATCGGGCAAAGCAATAAATGAATTAAGATACCAGCATCTACGTAGAATACACAAGAAACAAACACAAAAAGTGCCTAGAATATGTCGAAATTTATAGCTTTCCACCGAAATCGATGGCACCCAAACAGTTAAAAATTCTCAAATGGATGTCTGAATTTTTGGATTGAATACTTCTATGTTATCACAAATACGTATTGATTTACTGATATTAATTTATCATCCATTGTTAACTGAGTATTTTTTTTTTTATTTAAAGGATCTGGGTTGTGGCTGGGGATCTTTTGGCCTCTACGTCTTGCAGCACTATCCCCGATGTCATGTGACTTGTGTGTCTAACTCGAACACCCAGAGGCAGTTCATAGAAAACCAGGGGCTCAGGATGGGGGTATCGGACAGACTGCAGTGTATTACAGCAGATGCCAATGACTTCTCAACACAAAAGCGGTTTGACAGGATTGTCTCTATAGAAATGTTTGAGGTACATGTATACAACTTGATAGCAGGAACATTACCCTTTGAATATTCATTTTTGAATTACATGTATAATACCAGAAGTATGATTTCAATAATAATTTCAATTAAAAATTGATGACTGTTTAATTGTTTATAATGGTATACATTGTATAATTTATGTATCTAATGAGAAATTTTGTATGATTTCGAAATATGAAGTAGACTTTGAGTAAAGAAGGATCATATACATGTACTTCTATCTTTTGGATATCTTGATGCAGCACGAGGGGCATTTCAAAAGTTCTGGCAACTGGTGTGCCGTAAATTAATGAGCGTCATTATCATAAATTAAATTATATCAATCCCTCAAAATAGTCTCCGTTGACCTGGACACACATTTTCAGTCTTGAAATCCATGTGGAAAATGCTGCCCTATAGTCCTCTTTCGGTATACGCTTCATACACTGGAATACAGCACTTCCGACTGCATGACGACTTTCAAATCGCTGTCCTCGGAGGGCTTCTTTGATAACGGCATTCAACCAAAAATCGCGTGGAGCTAGGTCAGGACTGTAGGTTGGATGTGGTAAAAGGCAATACCATTTTCCTTTAAATATTTGGTTACTACCTCTGATCTATGGGCAGGTGCGTTGTCATGGAGGAGCTTTATTCCTCTAGTACTGGTTGTTGGTCGGGTCGTTTTATAGTGCTCTACAACCTGAGACAAGACATTCTCTGCATAAAATTGACCAGTAACACTGCTGTGTTCTGGAACCAGAACTTGAGCAAAAGGGCCTTTAGAATCAAAAAATAAGGCATACATTACTCTCCGGACAGACCGGTTTGAGGCCTTGTATCATTTTCACCGATCCAAACTTTATTATTGAGCTTAGTTTCCAGTTCAAAAAAATATATCAATGTTTCATCACCAGTTACAATCTCATTTATTCACCTTTGGTCACAATCTTCATAAATTGTTAGTAACTATGAAGCCGTTTCTACCCGGATGCGCTTTTGCTCTTCCGAGAGAAGATGCGGCACCCATCTAGCACAGACTTTCCTAAGCTTTAAGTTTTTCTTCAAAATACGAAAAACTGCTGATGAATTAATGTTAGTTAAGTCTGCTATTTCTTCAACTGTATATCTAGCATCATCAGCTATCGTATTTTGAACAGCGGTGATTTCTTTTTCACCATATGCACAAACTGGACGCCCCGAACGGGGGTCATCTTCAATTGATTTTCTACCCTCTTTAAATTGAACTACCCATCTTGCTATTGCTCAATATGAAAGAGCATGCTCTCTATATACTACATCTAAATCTGCTTTTATTTCTGTTGCCGTAAAGCCAAGCAATGAGCGAATTTTGCAATACACTCTTTGCTCAACAAAAAAATTGTTCTCCTTATCAGTCATTTATACGCCCAGTATACAGAGTATACCTAATTATGACGTCATTTTAGCAGACCTATACGTCATATGACGTCACTGCTAATGCATATTTGCCTAAGCTTTACAGTGGTATCAGAGTCATTTTAATCTGTAACGTAGTTAAAATTTTATATACCAGTTGCCAAAACTTTTGAAATGCCCCTCGTATTTTCCCGAAGAACCAGCTACCGGCCAAATTGACTGCTTCAATTGATAAAAATGCCGCTTTGAAATAAAAAAAATTAAAATTTGATTGTTGTATGGTCCACAGATTTTTCAGAAAGCTCAATCCAAAGCCTCTTACAATTGATCTCTAACCCTTTACCTTGAAATAAAGGGGAATTCACTGATTTGATGTTTTCACTTAATATCTAAAGACTGCATTTTCCTCTCTGTGGTATCAATGTAGAAAATTGTCTATATTTTTATGATATGATGACTTCTGATAGGAGAAATAACTCTATTATTCCATATTCTGTTATTCTCTAAAATTATCAAAAAGGTCAATTTCTGTCGAATTTACTCCACAAAGTATGTTGAATTTGTGTGCATTTAAATTTTAAATTAGATTTCTTTTGGAAAATCATAAGCGTTAAAGCAGACTTTTATATGAATAAACAGAGGGATGATATACCATAAGCAAAAGTCTGTTTGCAATAGTAAGAACATTGTATGACTCGCGCGTAAAATATACTGGACCAAAGAGGATAAAAGGTGCCATCATGTCTACTGTAATCTTGGTTTCATCCCACATTATTGATTTTTTTTGTTAAATGTGCCGTTGTGACTATTGCGACAAAAAATTACATTTTTATGTTCAAATGAAAATGATTGTAAGAATATAACAATATATATACTAAAATAGAATAATAATTTTATGTTGCTTAATTGGGGGAATTTTCTTTCAGCACATGAAGAACTACTCCATCCTCTTCCAACGTGTGTCCTCATGGTTGAAGCCCGCTGGGAGGTTGTTTATACAGATCCTCTGTCACCGTTACTTCCCCTACTCCTTTGACACTAAGCCTGGCTCAGACACTGAGTGGATGGCTAAGAACTTCTTTACGGGAGGAACAATGCCTTCTGTCGACCTTTTCCACTACTTTCAGGTAAGCTTTATATAAGGATCCCCCTATACACTGCACATCAAAGAATTCACACTTTTTTATGTCAATTGACTGCCATCTGTGTAGGAAAACCCATAGAATCCTCCCAGTAGCCTTTGTAGTTTTTTGGTTTGTAACTTTTTTATCTGACTGGAAAAAAATCTCTGCATCTTGTACATGTACAGGATGTGGCTACTCATACAGAAAGAAAAAAATTAACACAGTGGATTTATCAGAGCATTCCCAAATGTTTTGTACATCTTACATAAAGAGGAAAAAATGTGTTTTCTTACCCTTTTGACCTCTTCGTTGACCGTGCATTGAAAACTTTTTACGATATAATTTTCTCAATGATCAAAAACATTTTTCATTTATAAAGTGTTTGTAAGTGATTGTATTTTGAATATTAAATTGACAAAGTTCAAAATTACAGAGAAGAAAATATATCTTAAGATTACTTTATCATGTGATATATTTTCTTCTCTGTAATTTTGAATTTTGTCAATTTAATATTTGTACAGCCCACCTCTCTTCAAGTTAAAAATGGTTTTTCAATGAACTTACATACGAAAAAAAAAAAAAAACCACCCTGACAACAAATTTTTTTAAAGACTAAATTTGTGATACGTCCATACACGAATATATCTTGTCTTGAATTGTAATGCATTATATTAAATACAATTATAAGACATGTTTGACTTTTTGTCAGTGTGTAATGCCTGATACATTATATAAAAAACTCTTTTCCAGAGCTTGTTTGATTTTTTTCCCAGAGTGTAATACATGATATATCATATGAAATTTGGAATTTCTTTCCAGAGAGATGTTTACCTAGAAGACGAATGGCTAATTAATGGTTGTAACTACAGTAAAACACTAGAAGCTTGGTTAGCCACCATGGACAGACAGATGGACAAAGTGAAGGAAATATTTACACAGACATATGGACAGGAGGCAGATAAACAGATATTTAATTGGAGACTGTTCTTCATCTTTTGTTCTGAGGTGTTTGGTTATGATGGAGGAAATGAGTGGCACATGGCACAGTACTTATTTAAGAAACAACTGAACAGTTCTCTATAAAACAGATACAAACTGACACATCAAACATTTTGTTATTGGCCCACATTCAATTTGAAGAGAAAACAATTACATCTGATATGCAACGCGTCAAGATCAGGAAAAGTCACCAATGAATTGAATCAAGTAACAAAACTGAATGTCCCATTGCTACATAAATTGATTCATATTTGAACAGTATTTTTTCTGATGTAAAATAAGTGTGTGATAATAATTACAAGTTTGGACTTTGATGTGAAATATATTTATTTAAAAAAATTATCTTGTCAAAGCAAAGTAATATTTAATTAATTTGCCATTTTTTCCCCTAAAATTCATACACCGATGTGTACATGTAATTAACGATTGAATTATTAAGGTTGTTCCTTTGATTTCTATCAAGATGAATTATTAAAAATATGTTATGATTATTTATTTCAAAACATAAATCAACATGTATGACACTAAGTGTCACCATGACCTCGTATGATGTTACTAAGCGGAATTATTTTTTAATAAAACAAAATTGTTTAAATGAGGCTTTTAATTGTGCTTACTCCAAGCAAAACATGAAATAATGTAATATGTATATTTTATAAATGTACACTTCACACAAAAAAACTACTTTTGGAGCAAGGATGGGACCACAGCTGTCGCCAAAGTTTTATATCAAAATATACAATCTTCAACAAGAATAAGAGACTGAGCAACAATTTATCAAATGAATTCAAAATTAATTGGGTTACCTTAATTGGATGTTGAACCTTATCAACGTGTACATATCAATGTGCCTTGAAGAGAATAGCGAATAAGGTTAAAATAAATTATGTAAGTGGAAAAAAAGCACAATAGTTTTAAAAGTAATTAAAAATTGTTCTAAAAAGCACTTGCACAATTTGTTAAAAACCAGGTAATACATAAAATTGATAAACATTTAGAAAACTACAGTATATTAAATAAAACATACACAATGTCATTTATCATTGAAAAATGCTTCACTTTGACTAAACTGTAATATCAATTCCTATACAAGGCATGAAATTCATACAGGTTTCGATTGAAAGTAAACACAAAGTGACTTAAACAACAACATAAACAAAGAATCATCAAATGACTGCTGTAGTAATATATATACAGTTCTGCTGTGCTAGCTTATATTTTGCAGCTTCAATGTCAAAAATTACTCTTAAAAGTGATTTTACATCTGATTCAGTCTTGGATCTACAAACAATGCTGAGGCTTTGTCTGATGTCTTCTAATTCCTCATTTGTTGTTTTGTCGTCATTGATAAGAGTCAGATAAGTTTTGGAAGGGTTACTTACAATGATGAAATATAACATACTTAACTCAGGAATGTCATCACAATAGTTGTTTGATAAATAAACAATGACGTGTTCATAGTTTTGAAAAATATCATATATATTCTCGAATCTTGATCTTCCTATTCGATTAATGCTGCTAACTTCATGATTAAAGCCAACATTAACCCCAAAAGATGTCAACTCCTTTATGACCTTGTTGCTAACCTCACTTTTATCCTCGTCGCAACAGAATATGAAGCATTTATGTTTTCGGATATCTGGCATTTTACCAAAATATTCTAATAATGAATAAAATGCATTGATACAGAGTAAGAGAATCGAAAAACGAGTCATAGTTCTTACTAAACTGTGAGAGACGTCAACCTGAGTGCGCATACTTCGGAAGATCTTAGCATTATATAATGTCCTATAATTATACACTTCATACCAATAATCAGTATCTATCATTTCAAAAAGGCGCAGTAGGAACTGTGTATCATTCATATCTTTTATGTTCAAATGTTTATGTTGGTTACCTGTAGGTAGAACAACATACTTGACTGGATGTGTATAGATTTCGATGTTATTTTTCATTTCAGTCTGATTGTAGACTTCAATGCTATACTCAAGTGAATGTAGACCGTAAATTCCCCGTTGTGTGCTCAAAGTTGAGAATGTAAACCTTTTAACAGACCTAGAGCTATCTAACCCTGATTGAATACTATCAATAGTATCAACATTTTTAGAATACAAATAATGTAACCAACTGTCGAGAGTGCACGTACTTTGAGGATAATCTAAAGTCGCTTCAATGATCGAAAATGGTTTGTTGTTGATATAATGATAAAATAAAACCTCTGAATTCTCTTGAAAATGTAGTGGTGGCCAACTGATAAATAACATGTTTCCAAGAGGAATGAGTAGCATTCTTAGCTCTTCTGTATGTAATCTTAAATAAAAAAATTTCAAGATTTTTTTATGCTGATTCAGTTCTTTGTAGGATGTGTTCAATAACGTCGTGTTTGTTTCTTCAGTTTCTAGCCGGCAATGATATTCACCGACGTCATCTTCTTGTACGAATTTAATCTGTAAGAGGCTTTCAACCACACGCATCATTTGTTTAACCCCCTCCTGAATATGATGTATTGAGGAATTTACAATTTCTTGTCCATTTTTAACCCACGATATATGATGGCTTGACTGTCGATTACAGGTATCTAACCAATGGTTACTAGAACATTCAAAGGTTACCATTTCACCAATACTTCTTGTATACAACATTGTACCTTGTGGAAGTGTTGTCTTTATACGGACATCAAATGCCTCCGTCTTGTTTTGCAGTTGATAAGCATTTTCTGATGTAGTATTTCCAAAATTATCGCCTTCATAATTAGACACGGTTGATTTCAACCCTTCACTATAATTTTCCATAAAATGTATCCAGATATTATAATGATAACGGATAAAAATCATTAAAAATATAACAAAAACACAAAACACACAAACATTGGTAATTGAATTGAAAACACGGATTTCATCTCGAATTCATCATCAAGTCTGTAATACAGCACTAGTCTATGATATATAAATTCCAAACATTGTTGGCAGAACAATACGATATCTTCTATCAAATACCATAATATGACTCCAAAGATAAGAGAGCCTTTTTGTTGCTCTTCATTAGGGATAATTACCATGTATATAAATAACTGTTGAGCAGGGAAATGTACAAAGACTGTTTTATATACGGCCCGATCTGTTTTAAAACAAATAATCCATATCCAAGACATCAATACGCTTGCAAAATTGAATAAAAATGAAACGAAGAGAATTACCCTACCATCTCCTAAGATCGTTTCCAGACACACGCTAAACACAGATTTATCAGACACTTTGGTGATACCTGAGTTTTCGTTAAGCCTGGTACATATATATAGAATCGGTCCTGATATAAGCATAAGCATCCCGTGGTAGATTTGAATTCTTGCCATTGTACTGAAACAAAGCAACTCGTTTTGTAAAAATTAAACTTCAATGGTAAAATTATTGTTGACAATTTTATGTGTTAAACCATTCTCTAAAATGGATAAAACCTCAAGCTATATTATTCATAAAAAAATTTTCAGTTTGGGGGCACTATCAACTACCAAAAATTCCTCAATTCCTTAATTGAAAAGCAAAATTAAAAAAAGTCATCAGACGTTATTATTTCATCAGACGTTATTATTGAGGGGGCACAAGCATATAGTAGTAATGTTTTCTGTAGTATTCTATATATCGGCAAAATTATTGGGGGGGGGGGGCACGCCCCCCCCGGCCATATTAGTATATAATTATTGGGGGGGGGGTACGGTATATATAGTAACAATTTTCACGACGCCTCTGTATTGTCTGATCCCTTACAAATAAATTCTTAACTTTCGATATGTTTAGTAAATGGCATACTCTTATACAAACGCTAAAACTCTTCCTTATATCTATCATTGACGCCCTCTGCATATTTGTACGAAAAGATCAGCAAATTACTTGATAACATAAATACAATTACTGTAATAATCATCAAAATTAACATGGGGAAAACGATCTTACCTAGTTCACTAAATTTCTTGACATAAATTGTAATGGCTGAAGACTGCAATGGACAAACCCTTTTATTTTTGAAAAAAAAAATATCAAAAAGAAATCGATAAACTCCAGAACATGTATAGAAGACTACATAAAATTTAAAAGGAACACATCGATTAAAAACTAACAGCGCAAAATTAAATATCTTTTCTTGCCCGCGTTGGTTGGAGATTAATAAGAATATACATGTATTGAATGTTTTGTATGGAACTTAGAAGTGTGGTACGTCATGGCCGTAGGAACCGGGGGGTCACGGGGGGGGGCGTGCCCCCCCCCCCAATAATTTTGCCGATATATAGATTACTATAGTAAACATAGATACTATAAGCATGTGCCCCCTCAATAAAACCGCCTGATGACCTTTTTTTTTTTTTTTTTTTTTTTTTGCTTGTCAGAAAATTTTTAGTAGTGCCCCCTCAACTGTCAACTGAAAAATGTTTGGCTGTGCCCCCCCAAACTGAAATTGCTTTCTACGGGCCTGCATGTATACTGAAAATGTTTGTAACCTGACTTACAGTGCTGTCTAGAAACTGGCATTCTTTTTTTCGATGAGGTAATCAAATGTTCTATATTTCTTATACTTTGCATTCCAAATTGAAACACAGGTACATTCATATAAATTTTGTGGAAAAGGATAGATATCAAATAAAAAAAAAAGATTATCATATAAATGTATATACATGTATTTATTTTATTTTACATTTTATTTATTTTATCTCGATATAGCTTGGTAAAATCAGCCCTCCTCAATTCATAATTTTATGACTTATAAAATGCCTAATTTGGGCGATTTTTTTTACCTCTTTCAAGTATTATTTCCAGTGTCACAAACGCAAGTACGCATGTTCCTTTCATTATTATTCTTCACTACCGGTTATATAAAAATTTGTAAAGCAGTTGAGTTTCCCTCGCAGCGAGGTAAGAAAAGGAAGACCGACCATGGGCTTCCGATGATGAGTATAAAGTAACCATAAAAAGACTATACATAAAAAACTCATTTATTTCAACAAATATATTGTGAACATGTATGCAATGTGGTATCATCATTGCCTCAGATGGCTTTTCAGGTACTTAAAGCATAACTGCTTTTAATCACATACCTTTGAGATGTCAATCATAATGGTTATTATGACATAATTTTATCAGATATTGGTCATTTACATTATTAAGATGTGCATATTTTGAAAGTATGAAATTACATGATATGATGAAATTTTAACTAATGCATTATCTGCCCGGTGTCAACAGACATGAGTTGGTGCATTGTACAAAAAAATTAAATGGCCCTTTTTCAGGCAACTGACAACTGTCAAGCAGTTTAAACATCCAATATTGACCACATGGCAATATTGCCCATCATATTTAAAATCTAATTCTGCCCATCATGTTAAACATACATCCAATATTGTTCATCATATTAAATATTTTATATTGCCCGTTCTATTAAATATCCATTTTGACCATCATGTTATTGGGGTTAAGATTAAACACTTATAGGAGCCTTAAAAAGGTAGGCAATTTCTTTAATCATTGTACCCGTAGTTTATTACACCCAGTAATAATTATCTTGTGCAAGCAAGTTATAAAATATTTTGGTTTATTTGCAATATTTTTTAAAATATAAAAAAAAAAACAGGTCTTCCCTGAATTATATTTTTGTCAAAAGGTATCAGCTTGAGTTCGATCAGTCTATACCCAGAAATTAATTGTATGTACAACATGGCATTAGGCTGTAACAATATTCATTTTAATGCCAACATCTGCTCAAAGTAAATGTGTATTGTGATAAAACTTGATATATAACAGTTTGATATAAAAACATAAAGCAATATGTTTGAATAAAGCATGAATGTTCTGTGGGAAACAAATGAAATCATGATGACTCTTTCCTTTAAGAATCTGTAAAAATAAAAAAAATCAAATAATTCAATGGTTAAGGATATTACTTTACAAGGTACATATAGCTATGATAGACTTAATTTTTGTTTTCGTTTTGCTTAAAAATTAAAATTGCCTTTTAGTTCTGTTTCTGTTTTAAGTATAAATGATCAATGGTAATATTTTAGTATTTTTTTACCAAGTATAATTAAATAAAATCTTACCTAATGTTGAAGCATAAACAATGGACTTGGCACTTTTTCCATGTTCGTTGAACATTGCAAGAGAGATGTTGTATCGTGTTCCTGGTTCTAGGAAACAGAATATTTCTCTTTGAAAATGTCTACTGAAAGTGATCACTTTGAGATATTCATTGATGAGTTCAAAAAAGAGTACCTTTTCCTTCCTTTAAAATTAAATCGGATACTTTTGGAGGAGTAAAATGTCGACATTTACATAAAAATGAAATATTACTGCAAGCTCTCAAGACTCGGTCGATAAAATAAGCGAAAAGGCAATTCTTCAAAGTACTGTTTGACGATACTATGCGATAATCATTAGTACATTTTACAAAGGGGCAGGTTGCATCATTAATTCATTACTACTCTAAGGTTAAAAAAATAACTTTGAAAAACATATACTTTCAGAAAAATGTCAACCGCAAAATAAAAGAAAAAGTTTCAACATAAGTCTGGAAAAAATAATCAAGTAAAATTTAATTTAGAAATATTAACTGAACATTACCAGAACTGTGGCTTACCTAGATTTTTTATTCTAAAACTCCTCTGACTTGCAGGAATAAACTCTTGGTTTTCGTTTGATTCTTTGATTCCAAACCCTAAAAATACAACCGTAGCACAGAAAATGATAGTAAATAATTCAAATAAAATACGTTTGTTTTAGTACCTATAGCTCCATTACTTTTTGAAATTTGCATACTTCATGTTACTTTATTTCATGCAATATTGTCAGCTCGTACTACGGAATTTCGATCTGTTTATGATCCCTTATTGGAAAGAAAGTAAAGTACCACATGTTCCACAGACACACAAACACACAATGCATTGGGCCTCGATGTATGAGACCTAATCGGAAAATAAGTCTTATGTGATCACCAAATTCTTGCGATACCTTATGCCTGCATGATATATACCGTACGTATGTTTGTTTACAAAAGCTGGTAATAAGAATAGGAATTTTGGCTAATGTTGAATACTTTTTAATAAAACAAATACATGTGGTAATGAAATTTTTACAAGCTTAGAGTCTGATGTAAATACACGGATAAAAAATAATTACATTATGATCTAAGGTACTTTTAACAGATAATTGTGCATAATGACATGTATTTTCTTTATCTTTGCAACCCAAGTTTTTTTTTATTGCCCTGTTTCCTCCCCATGCCAGGATATCGCTCTCGCAATTGTTGAATCAGTGAGAATTGCAAAAAGGGGAGGGGGTGAACGACTTTGTTAGCCACCGTTTTTTGCTCAGCCCACTCACATTTAACAACTCATTACAATTATTTGCAAATGTGGATTTTAAATAAAAGAAAACAAATTTCAGCCCTCTGATGTTAATACATACGTCATATTGATATGTTTATGATAGGCGGGGGGGGGGGGGGGAGGGGGGAGCTACATGTGTATATTCTTACCAAGGATAAATCCAACAATCACATGGAGGTAGTCTTTAAGGGGTGGTTTCCAGTTCACGTCCAGGTGGTTCTTACCAGAGAATACCGATGTGATGCTAGGCATAGGTAATGCATGAACCGTGTCTTCTGTATGAAAGAAAAGGAACATATATTTTTGCAATTTGTTATCTTTCAAACTCACGCCTTAAATATTTGTACTGGGTAGTAATTTCAAAGTATATAGAATTTCTCTCTCTCTCTCTCGATTAAAAAAAACTTTGAAAAATCAGTCCCTACACTGAAGTGTTTATTATTCGATCACTTCTTTCAAATGCACAATAGCATAAAAAGAATTTTCATTCAAATTTCTTTCAGAAAAAAATATACAAGCTGTAAAAAGGTTGACAATTTTAGAAAATCCAGTAAAGTTTTTTTTTTTTTTTTTTTTTTCAGAGAGGAGAGGGGTAAAAATATTTTTCTGCGTGAAAACATTATCAAAGCTATATATGGCGCATCTAAGCTTAAAAAGTAAAAATATGAGATTGAGTGTAGATAAACGTAATATATGTCATTTACACTCAAATTAAAATTTTCACCGGTTTTGAACTTGAATAACCTCATGCTTCCATAGTTAAATTGATTTTAAACTGTGTCTGTAAATTATTGCGTCTGTAAATAAATCGGTTATTGTTTTAAATTTCTAATATCTTTGAAACCTGATTGATTTAAATTATGCAATTTACAGGAAAGTCCTATCTTTATATAAAATGAAAAAAAAAAACAAATAGAAAGATATTTTTAATTTTAGTTGGTCTGAACTTACATAAAATACGCCATATATGACTTTAAAAATTTCTCTCCTTATCCAATTTACGATTTGTAAATTTTCTAATAATGATTCGTTTTAAGTTATTTTTCACCGCCAAAATTTAAAGTTAAAGCCAATTGTTATATGATCCCTTGAATAATTTAATATAAAATACTTTCTCCGCCATTACACACTAATTAATAAAACAAATTTCTTTTCACAAACCTAAAGAAAATGTTTTGATCTCAACTGTGTGTGATAATTTAGCTCTGATGTCATTCTCGTAACGGACATTAACTTTTACGTAATACGTCGTGTCGAAAGAGAGATTCTTTAAAATCAGAAAAGCAGCTCTATCCACAAACTTCATCCGCCATCTCTTGTCTTCTTTCTTCTTATAAAATACATTATATCCTTAGAAAAATAAAATAAAATATTATTTATTTTGTGAATGAAATTCATGACGCAGGTAAAATTATATCTGTTTGAGATCATACCTCCATGTACTGGACCAAGATTTAATGGGTCAGAAATATGAAATTATCTTAAAATATTCCAGTTTCACTCACACATAACTGAAACACTTTTGCAAATAGACTAGTACAATATTTTGGCAAAGAAAAGGGGACAAGCTTCTGAAAACGGTTCAGTGATAATTGATCAGTGAATTAAAAAAAAAAAAATTAAAACCAAACCCAGTGCTGGTCCTTGTGTCTTCAGTGGGGGAGACCATCTGACATTTATCGTTGGGATTTCCCCATGATTCAATTCCAGGCTGACATTCTGTGGAGCATCATCTGAATATTATAATTAAAAATAAGAAAAGAAACAATATCTAGTACAATCGTAGCATTACTGTCTTATCAATTCACTGAACCTTTTTAGTGAAATCTAACTGTTTGATTTATTCTTAAAATACAAAGAACATTTCATTGCATGGGGAGAATTTTTTGATTGATATTTACGCTTACTCCATTGAATGAAATATCAAAAGTACAATTTTGACTGCTGTAAATTTTTACCAAATGTGTTCTCGTTTCCGTCATCTTCCACGTCTCCCGAGGAAACGATCGTCATCTTTCCGTCACCTGATGATAAATAAAACATCATAATCACATGAATGCTTGAATTTCAGGTACTTGGGCATTAAGCAGTACGTAGTCGTTATCTGATATATGATATGAGTTTTTTTTTTTTTGGGGGGGGGGGTGCATACGTTGGTGGTGCTAATAATGTGCAGTGCCGGGTTTAGCGCAGCGGGAGTAGCCAGCGCCTTCTTTTGAGAAAGTTTTTATTAAATTCCTATTATTAAATTCATATTGAATTATATAACTAATGTGAGTTTCTGATTTCATTTAACTTTAAAAAAAAAGTCCGTGCCCTCTCCCCAACCTCCAACTAGAACTCGGGATCCTAAATTACCTGCCGTTGCAACAGCGATGACGGGGTCACTTTCTCCGAAATTATTAAAGGCCCGAACACTGACTATATAATCGTGATTTTGGCCTGAAAGCAAGAAACCACAAATTAAAAATATATCCTCAAAAGAAAGACACGGAGAGGATCTCATTAATTTGTAATCATAAAAGCTATAAGAAAAAACATAAAAAATAAAGGAAAAAAATAACTTTCTTAATTTGTTCTTACGGAGTTTATGAATTGTATACTGAGTTTTGCTTGATTCTAGGATCTCCCGATAAACCTCGGGAATGAACCTTCCATGTCCTATGATATAGCCATTGACGGGAACATCGGGATTCCTCGGTCTGTTCCAAGCTAACGTGATTCCATAAGGCACTTGCTTTGTCGTAAAATTTTCAGGCCTCTTCGGAGCTTCTCTGATTACTAAATAAAGATATAAAGGACATAATATTTAAAAACTGTCATTCCTAATTCAGAAATACACTTGAAATTTTTGGTCATGATTGTTCAATTTGAGAGCCATTTTAACACTTCTTGGATTTCACATTAAAAATTAAATGTTTGTTCCTAAAGATAATTTGGATATAGAAATATATTTCCAAGATCTAAAAACCTGGGAGTGCAAGTGTTTTTCGTGTCAACCATGTTGTAAATGGCCCTGTTCCATTGCTTGTTGCGGCAGCCACTCGTATGTAGTAACTTGTACCAGGTAATAAATCTGTAAAAAGAAATAATTTTGATTCTTATACATTTTATAACACCAAAATAACTTAAAAAAAAAAAAAAAAAAAAAAAAAAAAAATACGATTAATATGTTGACGGTGCGACAGTTAGGGCGAGCGCAGATATCTTTCAGCTTTAATTTAAATCGGGCTCGTCAAATCGCACGTGACATTTGCTAATTACCAAAACAAAGTCTGAACAGTGCTATTTTTAATCAAAAACGTTTAATCTACTATCTGTCTGCCATATATCCATTAAATTTTTGTTGCTACCGCGAGAACGTGGTTTGCGGCGAGATGCAATTCGCTAAGCATTATGGGACCACAGGTAACTGCGGAAAAAAAAATTCACTTGGATCAATGTGCAAAGTCCGAATTTCCTCTTCGCCCAGGCGTTGCTTTAAGAGCTCGCAGTGACGAGCGGCGCTCGCTAATATGTCGACGGTGCGACCGTTGGGGCGAGCGCATTGTTCACTTCATTCGTTAAGATCCGCCTCTTCAAACCGCACGAGAGATTTGGAACGTCTAGACTGTGATGTCGTCACATGACATCGTATGTTAGCTGCATTTCCATAAACAGTTTAAAAAGTGCAATGATTTTAACAAAGAACGTTTAATCTACTATCTGTATGCAATATCCATTAAGGTGAGTTTATTTTGTCTGAAATTTTAGTTGTTGTTACCGCGCGAACGAAGTTAGCAACGAGAACAAGAAGCGATGCATTGTGGGTCCAGAATTACTGCGGAAAAAAATTCTATTGAATGAATGTGCAGTAGTCCGAATTTTCTCTTCGCCCAGGCGTTGTCGTTAGAGCTCGCAGTGACGAGCGGCGCTTCGCGCCGCTCGCTGCGCTCGCTATTAGTCAAGAAATCGGTATGTATTGATGATGAATAATAAAATGCTGGCTCATCCAATGAACAAGTAAGGCCATCTGTAACATAATGGTTGTTTGACCTCTCCCGACTCAGGGTAAAAAAAAGGGTCTGTAGGTAAGTGGGAAAATTTCTTCCCTAGAAAATTTCAACATACATGTTGACGGGATGAGAAAATTCAGGAATAAAAAGGAAAATAAAATTGTTTCCTGGAGAGTTAAAAAAGTGAGTCGGGCCATTTTTATCCAGTCGGAGGGGGCAAATAAACAATTTTTAAAGATGGCCTTATGATTTTTTTTAGCTCATGGTGTGTTTTCTCCAATGTGCATATCGGTCCTCAAGTTAAAAAAAAAAAATAATGCCCATGGGCCACAACACTCACCTGGATACCTTTAGACCTACTGTTCATAAGACTTTTAGAAGATTTTCTCTTTTCTATTTCCATGAAAAATTCTGACCTTGTATTATGACCTCACACTAACTTTAAGGGGACTCTGAATTCACAAAACATGAGGATGCTCCAAATAATGAACATACAGTATTTATCAATATGACCTGCATAGCCTTGCAGTTATTAATAAGAAAAATTTTTTCCTGTATACATGCATTATGTAAAAGTTGATCCCCATTGATGCCAACTCTAACACAGGGTTTATAATATGAAGAAAGAAAAAAATTAATCCACACAACATGGAAATGTTTGCAAATTAATATTTCTGTAGTGGTTCTTCGAAAGGATTTTGATTTTTTTTTATATAGTCCAACATAAAACTTTGATCTCATATTTTGGCCCCGCCCTACCTCCGGGGGCACGCGATTTGAACAATTTAGAATCTACATTATTTAAGAATCTGTTAAATAAATATCATATTTACTGGTCCAGCTGATCGTGAGAATAGAATTTTTGAAAGATTTGTTCCGATATATTCAAATGTCAAACTTTTGATTCCCTGTTGTTGTCTCACCCCTACCCTGGGGGCCCTGCTTTGAACAATATTGATTTAGAATCTTCATTTATCAGGAACTTTTAAGTAAGTTTTATAATTTCAGGTTAAGCTGTTCTGAAGAAGATTAAAAGAAAACTATTTATTCAATACAGGACTTTGACCCCCTATTGCGGCCCCATCCCTCCCCCAGCGACCGTTATTTGTGCCCCCACCATTTCCCCAGAGGCCGTGATTTTGAGAAATTTGGATCAGAAAAGCTCACCTGAGTCTTTGGCTCAGGTGAGCATAAAAGTAAAACATGTACAATGTGTATGGAATGGTATTAACATAAAATCCAATGCATTTCAAAGTTCAAATAGATAATAAAATAAAACTGAAATTAACTGTGAACTGGAAAATAATGTAAAACTCATGTTAAAATAAACACATCGTTGCGCGCGGCGTGGTGATTACAGTCACGAAGTAGAATTTAACCTTGTTTTGCAAGTTCGAATCCTTCTGCAGGATGTTGAGTCTGGTCCTTCGAATTAGACTTGCTGTGTTGTAAGGGCGTTAGCCCCCCCCCCCCCAAAAAAAAGATGCGGCTTTTTAAATGGTCGATTAGTGCTAAGCACAGTCCTGAGTTTGAGCCTTCAGTCGGCAAAGGGTTGTGCCCCAACACTCTTGCGAAATTATCGAAGGGACTTAAAGCGAACATTCAACGAACCAACACAGTTTTACACCTTATCCAAAAAGCAATGGTGCAAGAAAAAATTGCTCTGTATTTAATAAAAGCACGTGTTTTCACACTGGAGATAATGATAAAAATGGATGAAATCTACTACCTCTAATGACCATCTCCGTAGAGTTGCTGTACTGAATGGAATCCCTGGTTTTATCAATTGATCGGAATCCCACGATATACTGAGTTATCTCCCCATTCCTCTCTTCTTCAGGTGGCGGGTTCCATTTCAAAGATATTTCCTTGGAAAAAAAATCAGATAAATTCAATTTAATGATCATTTCAATTTTTTCTTAAAACCTGCTAAAAAATTTTTATCATACAGCTCATTTCCGTGGTTTTATTCCAGATTCATGAAACGTTTATAAAATAAATCTCACGTTTTTATTATGTTATAGATATACATGCTTCTTACTGTGTAGTTTACTTTGGTGACGGTGAGGTTCTGTGGGGGAGAGGAGGGTACCCCTGTATACGTCGTGGCAATAATAGACGAATCATTTCCAACCTCCTCATTGAAGTACGGAATCACGGAAATAGAGTAGGATTCGGCGCCACGAAGCCCAGTAAGAACATAATTGTTATAAGACGGTCCCAGCCATAAGTCGACAATGTTTGAATCGTCAAACTCTTGTGGTCGGTATCTAAGGAGGAATCTGGTTAGGCGGTTATTGGTGGGAGGGTCCCATTGCACAAGAATAGAACTGGAGGATAAGGGCTCCCCCTGTAAATTGCTTATCGCCCCTGTAGGCCTCTCTTCATCTACAAAGTTTAAAAAACAGAAATCTAATTTCAACAGAAAGAACTATAGAAAGATGGATTATGCCAGTTTTCTTTTTGGGAACATAATTTCTTACAATTATGTTACCTTCGAGGTAAGCTACCTTAAGGTCAGTTTACTTAGGCATTTGCCAAGTTTACCTGTGAGTGGTTTATAAATTCTCAGAATTGGATCACTCGCCCCTGCATTATTTATAGCGGTAAGGTAAACGGTTACTTCTTTTGTGTCATCTGAAATATGCAATGAAAATTCATATTTTGCATGGTCTTATATTCATAAACTTTTCAATAGGGCAGAAAAAGAAAGGCAATGTAAAGTAGGATTGTTAAGCAATTGGAATATTTTAAAGAGTTGGAATGTCTGATAATCTGCATTTTTGTCTGTTACTAGTACATGTACATAATGATTTGGTCAAAATCTGAAAATACATCATATACATAGCTCTTCAAACTGGAGACTATTTGTTTTTAATTTAAGATTCGAATTTAAGTTTTTAATCAATTTGTCATGAATAGTTCTTATTGGTTGGGTATTTAGAAAAAAAAATAAAATAAAAGACAGTATTCTAGTAAGGAAAGACATTGTGTACCGAATGGGGTAAGGGTAAAGTTGCGTCCATTGTTGTCAAGTAGATGTCGCTGCAATATATCCCCCTGGTAGATATCTAGCCTGTACTGTCTGATGTAGGTACGGTACTCTGGGTGAGGAGGGAGCCATCGAATTGTCATGGCTGTTTTATTGACCATCAGGAAGGCGTCGGCAGGAGGAGTGGGCCGTCTGTTCTCTTTAAGTATCAAAAGAATTAACAGACTAGATCACTGTGTTATATCAATTGATAAGACAGACACATATTTCTTTTATTACCACTTTGCTAAACTTATTCATTTATCAGATGCTGTTATTAATATAAATAATAAAATGTCTTTCTTTGGTTGTAAGTACGGGAATTGACGTCGCAGCTATTGCAGAAAAAAATACACATACCCCGCTTACGCGGGTTATGTATTTTTTCTACAACAACTGCGGCATTAATTCCCGTACTAACAACCAAAGAAAGAATTTTATTGTTTAAGTGTATTTACCTATGATTTCAAAATATATTTGAAAGAGTTTTTTTTTTTTTTTGCTTCATTGCTCGTGAAGTAGTTGAATATGATGATTATTATGGTCTTCACTCCTTTCGAATTAATTTTTTGTATTTTTCACATATTGTCCAACATTCATATCAACTGTAGTCTAGCCCAAGTGATATAGAGGTTAGAGGGCCGGTCACAAAGTATAACGTCGCGGGTTCGAATCCCATTGTAGGACGTAGAGACCGGTCCTTTGGATGAGCCTGTATCCTTGAGATCCGGTGTCGCAGTAAGACGCTAGCTTGAAATAGAGCGCAGGCAATGGCAATAAGTGCAAAAAATGTGTCTAAAATAACTTTGCATCCCTCCATCGGTTCCAACATGAGTGTTATACTCTTAAATTCACATAAAAACAAGAAAACAACCAATCAATCAACTGTTGTACTTCACATCATTTAGATCACTTTCAGCGAAAGTCTGGTCTTTCCGCTGTTCAATACAAACAGCTACAATATGTAGCAGATGTAAGTCTAAGTTACGTCTTCTGTGAAAATTACAATCTTTCCACTGATATCATTTTGATATGACCCCAAATGTATAGCATAGGTTACTGCTTCCTTGTGAGTATGAACATGTCACCGTATTCTTGAATAATTTAGAAATGAAATAATAAAGGAAACTAGAGCAAAGCTCGTTGCAATGCAACGAGTAGGTCTTCCGACGGACGTCGAAAGTAATATATTAAGAGTTTTTATATGAAAGATGATAAAATTTAGGCAAATTTCTATAAAATGGACCGAAAAAAATCATTTTTTCAAAAACTTCGGCTTTCAATTCGGACTTTTCCGGCCGTTATGACGTCACTTCCGGTTGACGTCGAAAGTCTCAAAGCCATAAAAAATCTTTAAACTCAATTACAAACCATTTTATATCATTTCTAATGATTTTAAAGGAAAAGCTTTATTTTTCGACTACTTCCGGTTAAACCGGGAGTGCTTTCAATGGATGGTTTTTGTTGTCGATTATACATTTGCATTTAAGTTCTACATGCCTTATGCAAAACTGTTCGATTTTTTAAAAAATCCGTGAATTAAATATCACTTCCGTTGTCGACCGGTAGTGACGGATGCAAAAACAAAAGTCCTTATACACACCTTAGAGAGATGTTATATCACCTCTGAAAAAATCATGATTCTATCTTGAGTCGTTTTAAAGAAGAAGCGTGGACAATATGATAATTTAAAATATGAAAATCGGATAAAAAATGCAACCGGAAGTGATTTTTCAAAAAAATGAAAAAACGGTTTGGAGATATTATAATGATTCATCATCCCGGAAAAAAATCTTTAAAATTGGTCGATTAGTTCCCGAAAAATCGCGTGTACTATGAAAAGGGAATAATAATAATTGTATTTATGTGCAACATAAAGTAATTTATACCATCTCTGTTATTCTACTGTTAATAGAGAATTTTTCTGGAATTTTCAGTTCCGCAGTTAATTCTTGCTTCTATAGATTTGTAACTTGATCTTGTTTATCTCTAGACCATGCATTCTGATGGAAACAAATTTTTGATAGGAAACAGAAGAAAAACAGTAAGGTCTTCCGAAGGAAGTCGAAAGACCTTAAATATGCTTGCAGTACCTTTCAGCAAGGTTTCCGTATTTGTATCCACTGATAAAACATGGGACGACACTTCGTTAGTTCCGTAATCTGCTACAACTTTTATCTTATAAGTTGAATTCTTCCGAAGATCTACAAAAACCATACTATGTTAAAAACAAAACGTAGGTTTTCATTGAAAATGGGTGCTAGGAATTTCAGTAAATTTAAGCTGCGAATTTCTAATTAACTTAAATAGGAGGGTGAAAATTGAAAATGAACACAATATCCAAAGTAAAGAGTTTCCAGTACGTATGGACCTACATCAGAAATTAAAAAAAAAACTTATACAGGAAGCACATATATACTGCAGGTACATTGTAGGTATGTAACCAACAGTAATATTTTGGCCGAGGGAGTGGGATGGTACCCCTCCCCTTTTGAAATAAAACATTCACTTTCAATATCAAAGAACCCACTCTTTGTCATTTTACTTTGAAACTTTGTTACAATGACCCCGATTGTAGCTGTTAATTTTTTTTTTACCAGCCTCCCATATTACTACATTTATTTACCTTGTAAAACCATTGTAGATATTGGAGGATACGTCTTGCGTACACGGTAATTTTTATCTTTCTCTCTCTTGTAAAATATTTTTACCATGTCTGGCGGAGTGTCGCTGTTTGATGCCCAGTTTAACACGATTGCCTGTAAATAAAGTATTTTAGAACCGATTTTTTTCAAGATCATAGCAGCTACAAAGATCTGCATAATGTTTTACCGTATCGTTCCATGATAAGATATGAAGTGTTGGTTTTGGCAATGCTTTTTCTGTCCTAACGGAAATGACGTCATTTCCACTTGATGTTAATCCACTGGGTGTTACTGCCATTACGGATATGACGTACTCTGTATTTTCTGTTAGATTTCTAAAAACGTGTCTTTCCAATGCCTCTTCCTCACTCCGGTATTTTCCTGAAGTGTCTTTAATTGTTACTAAAAATGTCGCATTTAGATATTCGTGTTTGATCAGACTTTCCCATTCCACTTCAATTTTTCTTGAAGTTAATGCAACTGCTGTTACGTTTGCAACAGGTGGTGGAATTGGGCCTGCTCAAAAAAAAAAAAAAAAAAAAAAAAAAAAAAGATGCAGAAAATGTTATATATATATATATATATATATATATATATATATATATATATATATATATATATATATATATATATATATATATATATATAATTTCCTTTTATCATAACTGCATGTATGTTATGGAAATGAAAAAAATAGTTTCATTGTTTCATAGTTTCACATGAACATCGATGCATGTGGAATGTTCTTATAAACGGAACACAAAATCTTCAAAAGATTTTTTCGAGTGTTTAAATTTTGTTCCTGTTAAACACTGAACAAAAATTAAATTAACAATTCACAAAAAGACTGAAAATCAAAGACTTTTTTTTTTTATTTAAAGAGTAACATGCATTACCAATAACAGTTATGTTGTGTTCTTGGACGATGTATTCAAGGTTATTCTGTGCTTTACATATGGGACTTTGGAAGTCCTCTGGAATATTGTAAAGCTCAAGAAACAATAGATACTTGTTTAAAGTAATCTTTTCAAACTTTGTGACGTCATAACCACCTTTCTGAAAATGAATAATGGCAGAATGTATAAATTCCTGAAAACTTTAGTATTTTAAAGGCTATAAACATCTTACTACGCTATAATGAAACTTCCTGTATAACATGACGGTCTCCATTTTCTACCAAATCAAGATGAAAATAAAATTGTAGCATATTTAGTTTACTTTACTAGACAAAATGTTAAACAAATCATTTTTGATGGTGAAAATTGAATAAAGGAGATATAAAGTGTCCTGTCACTTTAATGTCTTTAAAGATATTCCTGCTTTTTTATGAAAAAACGATAAAGAAAAAAAATAAAATGATGAACCGTTTTGATTTTTAAATTTCGACCATGTTTTATAAAATTTTGTTGACCACCTTTAGAAAAGTTTCTTTTTTTCTGCTTAAAGCAGGTTTTTGCCTTTACCATTGTGTTATGGCCATTAAAATCAAAATCTAGGATGCTTGTCGACTTAGCTAGTATATTCCAAATGTTTTTTTTTTTCTCCCATTCCTCGATATCTCTCAATTAGAATAAGTATTCTTATAATATATTAAAGCATGTCTAATAGCTATTTCTCTGCTTGAATTTAATAAGCAATAATCAGAGTCTTCTAACCAAGCAATGTTTAAAAGAGACCTACAAACCCTTGTCCTATAACCCATTCATACTGAGGAGGGGGCGTTCCCTGTACAATACAGCGCAAGGTCAGATTTCCACCAATCACAGCAATGCGTGGTCCTTCTGTCGTAACTGACACGGGGACTGTATAAAATACCCCAAAAAAGTATTATCGAATAACGAATAATTTTTTAAGCTGTCCATTTTTTGAATTTTGCAGATAGGACAAATCTGCAAAAAAAAAAAAAAAAAAAAAAATGGACAAAATTCTTCAATGATTTGATGATTCCATGTAATTCAAAAGTGCTTACTTTAATTTGTATTATCAAAAAAATATGCTTATATGAAATAACTGATTTCAAAATAATTTAAGAAGACTTACATGTACATAAGAATATAGAGCTTACATAAAGTTTCAATTCTAATGCACTGTGAACAATGTTAACATCTATTTCAGTCAAAAATATGACGTGTTCAGTTAATAAATCCTTCAAATCTGGTAGTTATTTTCTGTATTCAAATTTTGCAGTATAATGCAATCGTAGAAATTAAAAACACAGAAATAGTTTTACTACCTTTAATTTCAATTGTCAAACAACAAAAATTTCCAACAACAAAAAACACCCATTATATGGTGTTTTCATACAATTTAAAGTAAAAAATCTGTTTAATTCTTAATTTTACTATGTTTTGTGCTTTTAAAATTATTTATTTAAAAATTTGTACACAATATATATATTTAAACTTCTGCTAAAATAAAAAAAAAAAATTAATTACCAAATCCATTTTTTTTAATTTTGTTTAAAGTAACTTAAATTCTGGCAGATTATTCATACAGGTAAGTCTACCTGTACCCCTAAGAGGGCCCCTTAATTGAGTGTGATAATTACTTGTTGTTTTTCGCGAGTAGCCGTTCGGGGAATAAGCCCACAAAACAATTAATAGCTGGTTAAGCCCAAGTTAAGTGTTCATATACATGTAAGTAGCTTCCTACAAATACCTGCTTGGGTTTTGTTGCTATTATAACAGAGACATTTATATTTGTACGGTGAAAATAATTCAATATGATATTGAAACTGATATTGTTTTAATGTATTGCACAGGTTGCGCAAACCAACGATTAACACACGATAACATACCAGGTGTGGAAAAGGAGGCAGAAGACCTCCCAATCGTCCTCTCCCTAGAGCTGACGCCTTGTACTGTGACATTGAACTCACCACCAGGATCAAGGCTGTACACCTCAAGGACGTAGGGATCACGGTAAATTTCCTTGTATACCTCCTTAATGTACAGTTTTTGGGATTCTGTCATTAGATATTTAAAAGAAAGTGTGAAAATGTTTAAACAACACAGTGACTATAGTAAAAACAGGGATAATATATATACACCAATATTTTGACATCATGTCAAATTATGTTGTAGAATTCATACCTTGAGTGATTTCCACCCTATAGGTAATAACGTCACTAGAAATGTCATTCCACGTAATGTTAACTCCACCAGAAATCTGCACAACATTGAGATTGAATAGCTCTCCCGGGCTCGCTTTACCAATAATGAACAAAGTACATATAAATGATATGTATTATAGACTATCAAGCATACATTTCAGCATACCTTGCGGGTAAAGTTTGACAGAAATAGCCCTTATATCTGACAATGTTATAAAGGAATAATATTCATTGTCTCAGTGAGAGTTACCTCTCTTACCAGAGGGTCAGTGAACCTTAAATCTCAAATGAAGAAATACAGTTGATTATACGTACTTAACAGATACTAAATTACTTCTTTTTTTGAGATGATCTTGTTCAAAAACTAAAATAGGATTAAATTGATTATCAATTTTAACTGATTATTTTTTCTCTTACGTGTTGGCGGTGGAGTAGTTGTAATTGTAATGGATTCGTCACTAGGTTTATTACGCACTCCAGGAAGTTTCACTAGTCGCCATGGTGAATAGGCTCCAGTTGTATATCTAGATCTCGCTGCTATTCTTATCTTGTATGATTCTCCTTTTATCAAATCTACAACAACAAGGACAATAACAACAACAAAACATAAACACGCGTATTTGAAAATACCCTATAAAATTCTTTTAAATTAGGTATAATTATTTGGTAAGCCGTGAGGATAAAACATGTCTGCAATCTACATGGCGAATATCTCGAATAAAATTAAGATTTTAAATGAAATATCCATCTTTAATGGCGTAAATGAAATATGAACTTATAATGACGTATATTGAATATACCCCTAAAATGACATAAATGAAATATGCACCTAGCTGTACTGACATACATGAAATATGTACTTATAATGACGTATATTGAATATACCCCCGTGATGACGTAAATGAGATATGCATCGATCTGTATTGACGTAAATGAAATAGACGTATATTGAATATACCCCTGTACTGACGTAAATGAAATATGTACTCTTATTGAAGTAAATGAAATATTTACCTATGATGACATAGGTATACTGAATATGCACCCGTAATGACGTGAATGAAATACGTAATGATGTTGACGTAAATGAAATACGTACCTTCCATGACGTAAATAAAATATGTACTTGTGATGACGGTATATTAAAAAAATGCACTTTTTAATAACGTACTAAATAAGATATGTACTTGTAAAGAGGTAAATAAGATATGCACCTACTTTGAATTATGTATACATGTGATGAGTTAATTAAGAAATGTTTTTAAGTTTTGTGTGAGTTATTGGTGTGTAAATCACACAGACTAGCGGTTCATGAAAAAATATGCCTACGTGCAAGTCTGTGTGATTTACACACCAATAATTCACACTAAACTTAAAAACATTCCTTATATTTACATTTTACACGTTTAAATGCACCAAAAATATACTCAATGTTTGAATTTCTCGCTGCCCTATATCGCCATATTTTCATTAACGTCTCTGTAGCCTCATTATGACGTCACTTTAGCGCGAGTTTCTCCGTGTATATTTCTACGCGTGAGTATACACAAAAATGGTTTTTCAAATCTACTTCAGAGATGGCTGAGTAGAAAAACACAGCAAATGTAAATATTCATATATTTACATGTACCTGTGATAATATATTAAATGAAATATATACCTGTGATGATGTAATTGAAATATATATATATGTACCAGTTATAACGTATTGAGATTTCCAGGAACTGGCCACGGCGGAACACACGTCACCTCTCCTGACCCCTCGTCTCTTGTACTGGATTTTATATCCTTCAATCTTACCGTCTGTCGTCTTTTTAGGTGTCCAGCTCACTCTTATTTTCTAAAGAAAATAGTTTTTTCCCCAAATAAGCATGATTATATTAAATTTTTGTACTTGAAACTAGCTCGTCACTGATTATTGTTCATTTCTTAATCACAATTTCATAAAAATAATGTCACCGAAATAGAGAAATTTTATTTCTTCATGCAGACATGTTGAATATTTATTATATCGAAAATAAAAACATCTTCGCTGAAAGTAAGCGAATCGGGCACTTAGCTAGCAAGAATAAATAAATAATAACGTTTTTATGTCAATTAAAAATACTAGTATACAGCCAGATGCAGATGGCGAAGACAGTCAAAATCAAATCGTTTTACATCTATACATAAGTAATTCCTTACGGAAAGATAATACATGTATCTGAAGTTACATGTAGAAGTGACAAAGTCACCTCATTTTAATTATGCCCCCGGATCGAAAGATCCCGGGGGTATATTGTTTTTGTCCTGTCTGTCTGTTTATCTGTTTGTCCGTTTGTCTGTTTGTCTGTCTGTCTGTTGTCAACTTTAACCTTGCCCGTAACTTTTGATTGGTTGGAGCTATGACTTTCATATTTCACATGTGTATTCCTTGTGACAAGACCTTTCTTTGGGTACCATCATATTTGACCTTTTGACCTTGACCTTGGAGTTTGACCCACTTTTGCAAAATTTTATGAGACTTTAACCTTGGCCATAACTTCTGAACAGTTGGAGCTTGGGGTTTCAAACTTCACATGTGTATTCCTTGTGACAAGACCTTCCTCTGGATATCAACCACTTTGACCCTTTTGACCTTGACCTAGGAGTTTGACCTACTTTTGAAAAACTTTAACCTTGGCCATAACTTTTGAATGGTTGGAGCTAGGGCTTTCATGCTTCACATATGTAATCCTTGTGACAAGACCTTCCTTTGAATACCAACGACTTTGACCTTTTGACCTTGACCTAGGAGTTTGACCTACTTTTGTAAAACTTTAACCTTGGCCATAACTTTTGAATGGTTGATGCTAGGGCTTTCATACTTCACATATGTAATCCTTGTGACAAGACCTTCCTTTGGATACCAACCACTTTGACCCTTTGACCTTGACCTAGGAGTTTGACCTACTTTTGAAAAACTTTAACCTTGGCCATAACTTTTGAATGGTTGGTGCTAGGGCTTTCATACTTCACATATGTAATCCTTGTGACAAGATCTTCCTTTGGATACCAACCATTTTGACCTTGACCTTGACGTTTGACTTTTATTTAAAAAACTTTAACCTTCACCATAACTTTTGAACAGTTGTTTCTAGGTCTTTCAAATTTCACAGGTGTTTTCCTCGAGACAAGATCTTTCTTTGGGTATCAACATTTTTTATCTTTTGGCCTGGATTTTGACTTGCATTTGAGAAACTTTAACCTTCGACATAAGCTGCCATACGGGGGCATCAGTGTTTCACAAACACATCTTGTAATATTCGTGTTATGATCCATGTTTGTTATAAACATGCTTTACTGTAGATTTACACTTACCGTGGTCCCTACAGCTTTGGCTTTCACGTTAGTAGGAGGACTGACGTCAAAGTCTTTCTGTGTCTTACAAAACAGTGTTAAAGCCCTGGAAACCTTGGCCTCGTACACCGCCTGTACTTTAAGTAAATACGTAGAACCCGCCCTTAGTCCTTTAATGGAATATGAACGTTTTGTAATAAGTTCGGATTTTTTCGTTTGACCTTTTTTTCGCTTCCAGGTTACACGATAACCTTTGACATTTGATGCGTCTTTAGGTTCCCGCCATTTTAGTTTAAAACTTGTTGGTGAGAGATACTTTACTTTTAGACCTCTTGGTTTTGGATGGCTTGGATCATCGTCTGTAATAAATTGCACTAATAATCATTTTAAATCTATCGATTTATAGACAATTTGAAAAATAATTCAAAAAACTGCTCAATACATGTAATATGTAGAGTGTCGGATCAGGGATTTCGTTACATTTCTTCCGCAAATATTGCCAATGTACAAAACAAAACCTGTCAGACTATGTGTGTACACTCACCATCAGTATCTCTTTTTTCGATGACAGGTGGCGTGGATGTTGTCACGTGAAGAGCTCTGCTCCAATCACTTAGCAACCAACCTTGTTTTGCCTTGACATAGAACACGTATGTTTTGTCCTTGGCAAGACCTTGAACTGGTATTGAGTTAGCTTCTGCCTCCGTTGTTATTGTTTCGGAATCTATCAAAAGACAATAAAAAAAACAGGTTACTGTATTGTTTACTGATTAATTGATTGATTGATTGGAACAAAATAATTTATCTGTTGACATAGAGAACCATGAAACATTATCAAATTAGATGCATAAATGAAATTATTTAGATAAATATTATTATATTTATATTTTAAATCACACATTGTCATATTTGAAATGATTACTCATCTATCATATATTGTTGCAATTCAAAGGTCACCTGTTTTCGAGTATAGTATACCCTGGAGAAATAGAAAGTATCCCCCCCCCCCAAATATGTATCATATCAGTGGTTTCCGATCGAATTTAGGTATGTTTATAACATTATAATGTAATATTTCCTTTTAGTTGTTTCAGACCTGTGGGGTTCTCCCATTTGATGATATACAGCAATGGTTTCCATGATTCTTTGTGGTGCACTTCCTGCCAGGTAAGATTTACGTTTCTTAGATCCGGAAGTTGATTGTTAATGATGACCACTGCTTGAAGATCTTTGGGAGTAGAAAGATATCTAAATGGGCCGCCTGAGCTGTCACAAGCTACTGCAAAATAAATATGTTAATAAAATAAATATTATTTCCTTAGGATTGTAAAATCGCATAGACATTGCTTTAAAATGACACTTGACTGCCAGCTGTATTTCCGTTTCCATCATTTGAGAATCATATGGCCGACGCCCAATCATTTAATAATTATTAGGAATCCTTTGTATGTTACAGTGCATGTATCTTTAACATTATATTCCTCCAGGAATTCTTTAGTCCAAAGGAATATTATACATTTACAAATAATGGATTTATATCAAAGTGACAAATTGAGAAATAGTGCGTTTGTTTTAATTCATTATAATAATTGCATGCGCTAATAAATACGTCTGTGACTGTCCTTTACTAAGAAGATCTAGAACTATTAGTTTAATTTGAAAAAAAATCTGGAATTTCCTGGGTTTTTTTCACTTTACCTAGTATGTAAAAAAAATCGTTGTAGCTTTAGGTGTCTGAGAGAGGAACGAACGACAACTCCACTAGCGAGATAGATTGCGCTCGCCATAAATGACTCATATTACTCTCAGTACTTAGATTTCACCGGTGCCGAGTAACCTTTTAAAATTTCATTAAAATGAATGAATTTTTAACTGTATGTTTTTTTTTCTTTTGTAGTTAATAATTAAATAAACTGATTTAAGATAAAATTACGTAGAAAAACCGCCAAGAATTCAGTATTATTCATCCGAATTCTTTTAAACAGTCATTATTAACCAATTAACCGAATTTAAGAAGTGAAATTTAAGAGCCTTTAATTGGTGCATGCAGTAGGGATATAGCTGCCGATTAAAAAGTTTCGTGAAAATGTAAACATTTTTGTAGCTGTTTCAAATCTCAATGAACTGTAAAAGTAAAGCGATTTTTTTTTTCTTTGGGGAGGGGTGGTGGCGCAATAGGTACATGTATACATGAAATTTTTTTCAGCTTTTTTTTTTTAGCCTCACATTATTGATTTGATGTATGTCTGTGTGGAGGAAGGGGGTATTTCATTTTTTTTTATCAAAATTATTCATAGAATGACGTGTGCAGTGTATCATTCAGATTTTTTTTCCACATAAAATTAATTTTAAAATAATTCTGCTTAAGAAAAAAAAAGTTGCCTTTACTTTATAAATTATAACCAAGTGCATTTCCCGGATTGTTGCCAGGGAAAAAGAATTTAACACGGTCATTTGGCAACTTCATGCACTTGTCCTTCATAATATTTTAATTTGTAGAAAAACGAAAATTCGAACTTTATTTTCTTACTCTCTGCATGATTGAGGAGTTCGAATAATTGAAGTGCTTCCAAAAAAAAAAAAAAAAAAAAAAGAAGTCTGTCCCAACTAGAAATTGCTGAAGGGGGGGGGGGGGGGAGAGTTATATCTTTCTTTGACTTAATATATATTTTCGTTAATTTTTTCCAATGTCAGAATTTGTCAGAGTTCAGTCTTACTGCAGCCAAATGCGGTGGGGGGTGGGGTGGGGGGCTTTCAATAAAAATATATAAAAAAGAATCATATTAAAACTACAGCAGAAGACTTTTCTCCAAGAAATACTGGGGGAGGAGCCCCTGCGTACTATACTGGATGACTATGCGGGGGTGGGTGGGTCAGAGTCCATTTTAGTCCACGTATGATTGTTATACATATATTAAATATTTTAAGAGCAGGGGTGGGTAGTAAAATTATCAATCAGCAACTTTAGGGCCGTCTATTTCTGGACAGGGGTGCAGGGAGGGGTCTGGGAGGTGTACCCCCTCCTCTAAAAAAGAGTTTTTTGTTTATAAATACACACCTTGTAGTTACATATATTTTGGTTGGTTGTTAAGTGCATTCTTGAAGTCTCTTTTTTCACTAAACAAATAAGATGCAAAATTTAGCAGTATTACAATTAATGGAAGATTAATGAAGATACCTTCCTTCACAAATGTAAATTTCTATGTTTTTTCTTTTTAAGGGAGGGCTTCAATTGTACTATTTCACCAACCGTTCCGACGACCTTGAACTCAATCAATATGCAATGTTGATAAACATTTCCTGTTAAAATGTATTTTAAAAAAAACATTAAAAAAAAAATAATAAATAAAATACACGTTTACATGTACAAACATTGTATTACATCTTATTTTTATTAAGAATTTTTTTAATGTAATCAATTTCATGCCTCGTTTAAATACAACACGCTTTATACTTGAATCGTGGATTTTAAAGAATTTTACAATTCACGCATAAGTAAATTTAGTATAATAATATGAATAAGTGTGTTGTCAATGAAATATAAGCTGCAATCGCTCCTCATACAGTCACGTTCAAAACATCTAAAGGCACTGATACGCATATCTGTAAAGACAATCGTGTTCATGTGTAAATTAGATACATGGACATGATGTACAGATACATGTATTTGTATATATCCAAATTTCAGATTGAATATAAATTAAAAGCTTACCTGTTAGATAAAATAAAATCCCCAAAAATCCCCAAAATTTATACATATTGAATTAACCACATGAATCCAATGGTTCCAAGTGCGTTTACTTTTCAGTACAATCTCTTGAACTTTGTGAAGATGTACAGACGCACGCCAGCCGTTTCTAATTAAGACATTCCTTGATGTTTTTGAAAATTAGCTTTTGAGCTGTATCGCCTCAATTCTCTTTCACCGCGTGAGAACAGCGAGGATTTTTGCTCGAAGTTTGACGTGCTGTCCCGCCGAGTTTTCACACCAGGACGTGCTAAGTGCTAATTGAACACTGAGCTCAAGTTTTAATTACATGTAGACATGTCAGGAGATACGCTTATTTCATTTATTCAAATAATGTAGGTAAATGAACCAGGTGGACTTACCAATTTCTTTGGGGATACGACCGACTTAATTTTTTTTAAGTTGTTGACTTTTAATTATTATCAATTTTAGTCAGTTGGCTTTATACGTACATTGTACATGTATACCTATATGTAATTACATTTTTAAGTATTTAATATTCACATGATTCTAATCACCGTCTACCAGTTGAACTGGGAAGATGGGCAGGTATGCCATTATATGAAAGATTATGTACACTTTGTAAAACTAAACATGTTGCCGATGAATTCCATTTTATACTTGAATGCACTTTATTGTCAAACGTTCGAAAAAGTATATATCAATGAATAATTTAATTTTGCTTGTATACTAGCCTCTGATTGGTTAATATCCAAAAAGGAACACAAATTATTTCTGTATAACCTGGTTTGGTATGGGGACACACCCCCCTGACAACCAGCTGAATCATCTGTATCCATACAGTCCTCTCATTTCCAGTCCTCGGGATTCATGGAAAATTCCAGATTTAATAAATGTACCTTTAATTTCAAACAATAATTCGATCTTACCACATGTAACCAAACAACATGGCTGCTATGCCTATGTATCAGTTTTTACCTCCCCTCGATTCCCATCACTTCCGTTACTATGGTTGTATTATTGAGTGGCAAATTTGAACTGATAAAAAGTAACGTAATTTTACACCCATAGTTATTTAATGATTTTAAAATTAAACTATAAGGAATGACTCTAATTCTTGGCCAAATTATTCGAGTATAACCTGGTTTGGGTCAGTTTACGCTGTTTTATAATCCGCTTCGCGGATTATAAAGCGTAAACTGACCCAAACCAGGTTATACTCGAATAATTTGGCCAAGAATTAGAGTCATTCCTAAAATATTAATTACTTTATTGCTAGACCAAATATACTTAAATTTTCTCAATTGATGACAGAACATTTAGATGCTAAGACTCTGAAAAAACTTTGTACTTTTATATGAAAAATATATGAGTTAGTCTGTCCTCCATGATTTTTTCCCTCATTTATACTATTAGTATATGTATTATATGTATTTATCATATGTTTTTCTTTTTTCTTCTTTCACTTTCATTTTCTGAATAAGTGTATCGTCTACTTTACCTCTGACCTGAATTTTTATGTTGTAAATATTTTTCATTGTCCTCATGTACCATATATTTTAGAAGGTTTTTGAGTGAATAAATGAACTTGAACTTGAACATGGACAATTTTTTCGTTCTCAGTAATTATTAGTTTTAGTCAATTGGCAATCTGATTGATAAAAGAGATTACATGATAATGAAGTTTTTATATGATTGAAACTTTGACGTATTCTATACGAGAATAGAGGTGATGAGTGTGGGCCCGGATTATTGGTTAATAGTGCTGATTACAATATTGTAATAGTCATATATATAGTCATGCGCATAAAATTTAAAAATATTGATTTGAGAATTTAAGATAAATTAACTGATATGAATTAATGGGAATTTTCTATATTTAATATCGGATAAAATGTAGTTTTCTGCTAATAAAAAAGAGGTCAGTGAAGAAAAAGGAGGAACATTTAAAATCTAAAAAAAAAAAAAAAAAAAAAAAAAAGAAAAGAAGTATGTGTATCTACCAGCTGGATAATGGTTTAAAATTTAAAAAAAAAAATGTTGGTTAAAAAATCAGGGGGAAACACCCCCCCCCCCCCAAAAAAAAAAAAACTTTGTGATTACAAGACTTCATTCGGGTTCGGCATTCCTGAAATTAAATACGTGTGAAGATTGTTTTTTCATTTTATGATTTTTGTCTTGGTTTAACCGTTTTGTTTTGTCGTGAAATATGACAGACTAATTATAATATGTAGAGTATACCATGTCATAAGGTAAGAATTCATTTTATTGTACATCTGCAACCCATGGTATTCAAAGCTTTGCGTTAAACCGCATTGGTTGCACAGCTCAGCTGCTGCTCAACGCTGAATGACGAAACCAGAGACGTAAGGAACTTCAAATGTTGTATCTCTGATAACAGGTTTAATAGGACACATTCACTGTATGACATGCGGGGTGTGACTCGAGTCTATCAGTTTGAATTTGTTAAACTATAAATTCTACCCCCCCCCCTTTACAAATACAAATACAAATATTTATTGGCACAAACACAATTACAATAATTGGCAAAGGCACAACACATTATAAGAAAAATCGATTGTTCATACATAAATACACAATATTTTAGTATAGAATGTGAGGCTATACATAATTATAAATCACACATCATTTGTATAATAATTATGTAATGCAATCATTTCTAGATGCAAGACATTTTTTAATAAGTGAGTGTGTTATTTTCAGTATTTCTGGACAATGGCTATTAAAGCAAAGCTTAACTTTTTGAGTATAAGACATATTTGATATTTTTCCTTGAAAAAAATTCATCAAGTTCCTTTCAAAAGTTAACCTATAATTATTGTATTTATGGCAGCTGAATAGAAAATGAAATTCATCTTCAATCTCCCCTGTGTTGCATATATTACAAAATCTTTTATCTGTGGGTATAGACAAATGTCTCCCTTTTTCTATGGCAAGGTTATGTGCACTAAGTCTCAACCTGCTAATAATTGATCTCTCTGTTTTCTTTTTTAATATATCAGTGTATCCACAGCGTTTGAAATTATTAAAAACAACTTGATAAAATTTTAGTTTTGATGAATTATGAATCTTTGCATATTCCATAATTAATTAAGATATTCTGCTATTCTCTATTGAGAAGTTGATGGGTAACCCGAATTACCGAAATGCCCCGATTTACCGAAATGCCCCTGGAAATTTGATGGCTCGTTTTAATACTCCTCCTCAACTTCTCCACGAAAGGCCTAATAAAAGCAGTTCAGAAATTGACTAAATGAAGAATCAAACCGGACCCCCACTTTGGTCGATGTTTTAGGTCTGATGCGATATCATAGATGTAGTCTGATGCACAGATGTTGTTTTGCAATGGAAGTGTGATTAGAAATACCCATTCTGCTGACTTAAAAACATTTATCACAGTTGAACACTTACTTGCGATATACAGGATTTGTTTATTCATTCAAAACTGTGTATGAACCCTGTTGACCTCTAAAAATGTCGAAAACTTTTTCTCCGGATAAACTGGATTAAATGATCCAGTGTTTAAAAATAGTTATCCGGAGGAATAGTTTTATAGACTCTTTTAGAGGTCAACCCTGGTTCAAACACAGCTATCTGGCGACACATATATGGAAAGGAAGTGTTCTATCATTAAAAACGTGTTTTACAGCAGCAGAATTGGTATTTTATTCGCATTTCTATGGCAAAATATCATCTGTGCATCCAGACTACGACTTTGATATCGCATCAGACCTAAAACATCGATCGAAGTGGGGTCCAGTTTGGTTCTTCATTTAGTCAATTTCTGAACTGCTTTTATTAGGCCTTTCGTAGAGAAGTTGAGGGGGAGTATTAAAACGAGCCATCAAATTCTTAATAGAGAATATTATTCTGCATGAGTTAGATCCCAATATACAGGGTCCAATTCTGTCTTGTTAATTAACTTTGCATAACCATGATAACTTTTATTAAGAAAAATATGGACATGGTTCTTGTGGTTGCCTTCTGTAAAGTCTGTTTTTTTTCCGCAGTAATTTCAGTATTGTGGGATAACTGGGATGGCTCGCAGAAAAAGCCGGCTACAGCTGCTCATCAGTGGGGTACTCATCTTCTGTATAGCTCAGTTGATTGATGCAAAGTGGAATTTTCTCAATATCAAGTTTTACCTCTCTAAGGTACAGACATTTCAGTATTATCTTGATTATTGAATTTCTGGTATTTGTTTCTACACTTTACACAAGTCATGCTTACAATGAATTCAGGCTTAGGTCTGTAAAAATTAATTGTGTGTTTCCGGTTGACCGACTAACCCTAACTAAATTATATGAACCAAACCTGAAATTTTTTTGGCTTTTGGCATTAAATACTTATTTGAGTTTCACCATTAGAAATCATAATCTCCTTTTTTTCATGTGTTTGAGAAAACACATATTCTACATGTATACTTAATAATCAGAATTGATTTGACAGCATTTTTCATGTTTTTTGTGTGATGTAAGGGGGGGGGGGGGGGGGATGGCATCATCATGGGAGAAAGAAGAAAGAAGAAAACTTTGTTTTTTTTTTTCTTAAATATTGTTTTATTCTGTCTAAGTTAAACATGTTAAATGAACAAAAAAATATTATACAATGTAATAAACTAAGGCCAAAAAAAATAATAGTCTTGTTTCCTGCTACCAGCCTGAAAAAAATAGGGTATGAAGGTAGGAAAATTATTTTATTTTATATTTTTATTTTATTTTTTGGATATGAACTAATACAAGATCAAATTAAACATGTCACAGGTCAATATTGTCTTATAAAATTAAATTTCATGTCTTTTTATGCACAACTCAAGTGGTATTTTATGAAAGTCCATATTTAAAACAAGAATTTCATGAAATGCTTTTTTTTGTGTTAACACGGAAACGGATTACAGTGACAGAACGTTGAAATTCCAGAAATTCCTGATTTTTTTTCTTCCAAAACTTAAAAAAAACTTTAGGGTCCGGTGCAAAAAAATAGGGTAGGTCGGGTAGCAGGAAACAAGACTATTATTTTTTTTGGCCTAAAATTTTGGAATAAAAAAACACACTATTAATTTACATGTATCTAGGCCATATAGCAAGATGATTTTCATTCCCTGTTGTTTTAAGACATATTATTATGAACTAAATGGATAAAACATTACATTCAAAACAAATCAGAAGTGTTTTGCAATAAGCATTTTATACTGTATAATATAAAAAAAACATTATATTTTTTTATTATCCTTAGCAATATTTATTAAAATGTGTTTTATATCCTTTTTTAATAACTTAATTTTATTTTATTGACCTAGTTCGTTAAACATGTTAAAGCATGTAAATTTGGCAAATCAGTGGTCTAAAACTTAGACAAACCTTCCAAAAGTGCTCTAAGAGTTATATACATGTGTAATGCTAAGAATTTTTATTTGAGGAAGATTTGCCCCTCCTCCCTTGTTCTCTAGCAGATAGTTGCAGCCAAGAAACTTGCAATGAAATATATGGAGATAACAAACAGTATTCAAGCTCAAAAGTCCATTAAACAATACAAAATAGGAGCAGAGCAAACACGGACCTCCAAACATCAGAGGTAGGATCAGGTGCCATGGAGGAGTGAGCATCCCCTGCCGACTGGTCACACCCGCCGTGTGCTCCTTGTCATGATCGGGAAATAACGGAAAAATCCGTCAACAATTCAGTGTGTAAATAATGGCCTAACAATTAGTATGAAAAACATCAGTCAGCATTTGACTCAATGATAAATTGTATTTGCTGACAAGGTCATTGTATCAATCATTGATTGATTGATTGATTGTATATTGTTTTACGTCCCATTCGAGAATTTTTCACTCATATAGAGACATCACCATATACCGGTGAAGGGCTTCAAATTTTGACCTTTACTCGGCACTCAGGACCATTGAGCAGTGAGGGATCTTTATCGTGCCAACGCCTGCCGTGACACGGGGCCTCGGTTTTTAAGGTCTCATCCGAAAGACCCGCAACTTTCACTTCAAAGTGCCGAGCGCATGGCGAAGGAACAGTTGCTACCTATTTTTTAGCGACTTAGGTCTGTCGCGGCCGAGATTCGAACTCATGACCTCCCGATCACGGAGCGAGCACTCTACCGACTGAGCTACCGTGAACGGTATCAACCATAGAACTTACGAAATGATGACTTTAAATGAGACAGCTGATATTCTTGTTTTATCAACTTATTTGTCAAATAATTTACCTCGTTTTAGAAATTGCACATACGTAGAGCATGCTCTTGCGTATAGAATCAACTGAGAGATATATACCCCGTATGCATGTGATGAAGGTATATTGCTGCATAAGTAAGGAAAGTTGACGATTGAAAAGTTAAAGTCATCACGTTTATCATAAAGCTTGGTTGTTAGATTACCATTAAGGTCTTTTTCAAGTAAAATATCCAAATATGAAACAGATGTGTCAGACTTTGTGGTATTTTTTAACTCTCTAACCAGATGAGGGTATCATTTTTTAAATTTTTTTTACTGACCTACTCTCCCCCCTCTCCCCCCCCCCCCCCCCCCCCTACATACACACACACACACACACACACAACTTGACAATAAGAACCTAGATTTACATACATTTACTCCTTTTTTCAATAATTTTTCAATAATTCATTTTTCTTGTACATGTAGTTTTCCTGGGGTTTTTTTTCAGTCTAAGAGGACTTCTTTACCATTTACACGGAAGTTCCCCAAGGACAGTCATTCACTCATAAAGAAAAGCACAGGGAATAACACAACTCCTTACCATGGGGAACCCCTAGCTGAAAAGAGTTCTGATCACCCAGACTTTCGGATCATAGTCATAGTTTTCAATCGACCCCATTCCTTGGAGCGTCTTCTGGACTCTCTGAATAAAGCGGAATATTTTGAAGATAAAGTCATTCTAGAGGTGTGGATAGATAGATCTAAAAAGGACGGTACTATACATGATGGAACATACCACACAGCCAGCAGGTTTAAGTTTTATCATGGAGAATACAGGGTGAGTTGCAGGAGACCTTAATTACTGTAAATTTCTTATTTTACGCAAGTACTTAATATTGCAAAAAAAGCCCAAGGGCGTCAAATCGCGCCAACAATGATTCGCAAATTGGTGATTTATCTGAAGATTTTACGTACATTAAAGCTTCATAAAAATAAAAGCAAGTAATTTTATATCACGAGTGGTGCTTCTTGCATAATTACGTGCATAGTTGCCAACTCACCCGATTTCGTCAGGTTACACCCAGGGCTCGACATTAACTTTTTTTCCTACTTGTCCATTCGGACAAGTGACCAAAACATTTATTTGTCCGAACTTCAACTTCACTTGTCCGATTTTTTTTCCAATAAAGATCTAATACTGTCAATTGGAAAACTAAATAAAATCCATTACATGTGTGTGATGTTATTTATAAATACAACAAACACTTAAAACAAAATTTTATCTAGACTTTCTGTCCTGACAACAACATCAATGTTCACAAGTGAAACTGTCAACATAAATTCGTAAGTTCCATGCGGGTGCTAGGACTATCAGGAATCCCGGGATTTCGGGAGAATCCCGCTACCTTAAGAAGAATCCCTGACAAAAAGGTAGAATCCCCCTAAAAATGAATTAGTTGGGATACATAAAGGGTTTAGGTGGTGATTACTTGAATGATATTGCTATCCGTACATTTTTATAGCCAATTTTACCTGAGAATCGACAAAAATCGGACGCCATTACTAGTTGTCGTGGTATACCGTATACCACGCCCGATCTAAAATCGCGATCGAGTTCTGTCGGTCCGTCATTTCATAGATCAAAACAAAACGGTATAGGCCTACTTAAATTTTCGGAATATTATCAATATTTCTACAATGATATGTGTCAATTATTTATGTGATAAGTATTTAACCAAAAAATTTGTAAGGACGTTAACCATTAAGAACATATGAATATGTGTATTAATTATTCATATTATCCCAATGTTACCAGCTCTAGCCACGTGGAGGCCTCCTTTTTTGTAGAGCCATAATTTAAGAAATTTAGAATTCAGAGATATAAAAATATGAAAGCTAAAAGGTTCAAAACATATGAATAAAATTTAAAAATAAATAAAAACTAAATAAATTAACAATAATTGTACATATATTACAAAGAGAACAAAACACAAGAGAAATTAAAATAATTTTAGAATTTGAAAATACTGAAACCAGAGGAAGAAATAGTTCAATAAAAATTTATCAAGAATTTCAGATATTGAGAAATTTTAACTCAGATTAAGAAACATTCTATATAATTTTTTTTTTAATTTAGAAAAACACACACACACACACAAATAATAAGAAAAAAATTAAATTGATTAAATTTTAACTGAAACCAGAGGAATGTTTTGAAAGAAATAATAAATTAAATATATTTAGCAATTTTAAATCAGACTTTATATTTTTTAATTTAAAAACACACACACACACACAAATAATAATAAAAAAATTTAATTTATTGAATTTTAAATGAAACCAGAAGAATGTTTTTAAGAAATAGTAAATTAAAAATTTATCAAGTTTTTCAAATATTTAGCAATTTTAAATCAGACTGTAAACCATTCTATATTTTCTTTTAATTCAAAAAAGGAAAAACAACACACACACACACACAAAATTAACACAAGATTTTGTTGAATTTAACTGGGGAGAAAAGTCTCATTCTAGACTGGATGAAAGTGAAATGAAAAACTTTCTGTCTCCAAACATAAGTATTATATGTTTGTCCATGTAACCTGAAACTTTAATGACTTGAAATAAATAAAAAAAAATTATTATATTTTTTTTTTACATTTCAATGCCAACTGAATTTGTCGAATAAAAATTTCCATTGCCTCTCTGTTCAAAGTAATCCCATCATCAAGCCAAATGTTTTTATTCGAATTCTTTAAGCCTCTACATCTCCAAAATATCACAGTTTGAGAATTAGCATATTTTCTCCGAAGGGCGTTATTTATGTCAAAAACTATCGAATTGTACTTTCCTGGATCCATGGTGCCACAAATCATTTGCTTAAATAGACTCCCAATATATATTTTTTGAACTGACTCATTTCTTAACAATTTTTTGATAATTTTTTGTATTCCTAACACTATTTCTGATACAGAAAAAAAATTTATGTCATTCTCTCCTACTTGTAAAAACACTTTTGTTGGACAAAATTCAACTGCGCTTCCAAAGGATTGACTAAAAATAATTGATTCTGTTGTTGTATCTTTCTCACTAAAAATCTGGACTGAATAATTACTGGGCAACGTGAAATTCACACAACCGTTTGTTACACTATTCCCTAATTCTGACACATGATTTTGACCAATGATTGCAACTCGTACTGGAGAAGTGACTGCAGGAGTTGCTGAAGGAGATATTGTCGGGCCGGGTATGGGTGCAGGTAGAGTTGTAGGGGAAGTAAGTGAGGGAGTTGCTGAAGGAGATTGTGCTGATGGAGATTGGGTAGGGATGGGTGCAGGAAGAATTGTAGGGGAAGAATCTGAGGGAGTTGCCAAAGGAGATTGTGTAGGTACACGTGCAGGAAGAGTTGTAGGGGAAGTAACTGAGAGAGTTGGTGTAGGAGATTGGATAAGGACGGGTGGTGGAAGAACTGTAGGGGAAATGATTGAGGGAGTTGCTGAAGGAGATTGGGTAGGGGCTGGTGCTGGTAGGGTTGTAGGGGAACTTACTGAGGGAGGACTGTTTTTGATTGAATGCCAATGGGAACCGGTATTGACAAGTTTTGAAATTTTTTTACTTATTTTTGCTGTCGGAGCGTTGTGAATTTGGTTTGCCAAATAGGGGTCAGAGTGCTCGACAGCTTTTAGGTACTGATACAAATGTTCCGAACTCTGAAACGTAAGACCCTGGAAAGTTAAAACACAGGGGTAGAAATTGGAAAGAATATGGTGCTCTCCCTTGAAATAGATAGGAGAGGTGGGAGATGGAGTTGGAACAGGAGCAGAGCCACTGAAGACACTGAAGATCAAATTACTGACATTAAAACTTTATGTTGCAGTGGACAGACAATATTAGGTGTTGACAAAACTTTTAATTTTTGTGACAATTGCATGTCACTGCTACATGCTACAAACAAATCAGAGTAACAAAAGAAAGAACAAAAGAGCCCCCCATCTTTCTTGGACCTTTATTCATTCACGACAATAGCGACTTTGAGTCATACAGTAATTTCTTTTATCATTTGAGAACTAAACTTTCAGATACAGATAAGTCTAAATTAATTTTTGGGTCGGATGAAGAAAAGGCTTTAGTAAAAGCAATTACTGAATGCTTTCCCGAATCAAACCATATATTGTGTAAGAGACATCTTTATCAAAATGCAAAAAAACTTGTTGATGATAGTGTAGACAAGGCAGACAGACAAAAAATATTAGACCTAATTTTCAGTGATGAGGGATTGATAAATTCTGACGACAGTATTTGCTTCGAACACATTTCAGAGCAAATAGAAGACATATCAAAGGAGCTTTCAGGCAAATTTCTAAAATATTTCAAAAAACTACAGCCAAATCTCAAAGAAAAAGTCAACAATCCCATCAGGCATGATGTTGTTGATAAACCATGGACAAATAATAATTCTGAGTCATTAAATCATGTCTTAAAACAAGCAATTGATTGGAAATCAAAACCACTCCTTGATTTGGTAAATATACTTACAACACTTATAGAGTCACAGTTTAAAGACCTTAGAAAATCACTTGTGGGGGTAGGACAATTGAAACTAGTAGAAACACATGATCATTTCGGTGTTTCAAAATCAGTATGGGTGACTAAAACGACTGTCTTAAATCGAGGCTTTACACTAATTAGGAGGCCTCCATGTGGCTAGAGCTGGAAACATAAGGAACCAACTATGGATATTTGTCAGATATTAATATTTTTATTTTCATAAATTCATATTTTCCTTATGGCTATAAACGTCCTTATATGAAAATCTGTAAAGCATCATTTAATTTCAATTTTGTTCAATTATATTAATAAAAAAATAAAAATAAAATGTCTGACAGTAAGGGTATAATTATATGTTGAATGAAAAGACAGTACAATTACAATACAAAATCATTTTAAAATACAAAATTGAATTGAAAATAAAGAACTAATTGAGCATAGTGAAGGTCAATGTATACACATGCAGTGCCCGAGGGGGTTAGTTGGACAGAGAACAGGTGTTTAAACAGAAGGTGTTTATTACCAACTAGACCAGGTGTCAGTGGACCAGGTGTCATCAGCTGTGTATATATATTGCATGTATACATACAGGGGGGTGGCTGCCTGTCCCAGTAACTACCAACAAACCTGGCTGATGTGTAAATAGTATTATCGCAATACTCCCTCAACATGTGGTCACATATGCAACATGCACATATTATTAATTTTTATGGAACTTTCTATTTTTAATAGATCTGTGTTCAAATAATTTCATTCTTGGATAATACTAACTGCTTTCTAATATCAATGAGTATTTATTTTCTTTTCAAACATGCAAAAACAAGCCCCCCCCCCCCCCACCCCCCACCCCCCCCCAAAAAAATAAAAAAATAAATATAAAAAATAAAAAAAAGAATCAACAACAAGAACAAAGTACATGAAAAATTAAGTAAATATCATATTTAGATACAGACAAAATCAAACAAAACACATGAAAACATAATAAATAAATAGATAAATATTATAGAAATGAATAAAGGAAATAAAGGAAAAATAAATATATAAATAAATAAATAACTTTAAAATATAAAATAAATAAACAAATAAAAATATATAAATACATAAATAAATTCCAAATTAAAATTTCACCAAAATATTTCCACTGTGCTTTTTATCAACCATATTGAGTCTCTTGGCTTATGTAGAAATGTACTTAGGAGATAAACATTAAGTATCTCATTGTCTTTATATTACAGTAACACATACATTTCACAAATATTTCCAAATTCTGCAGCATAATTTTCGATATAAAAC